AATGCTAGTAATTAGAAATCAAAAACTTTTTTTTTTAATTAAAAAAATTTAAATTTAAAAAGGTTAAAATACATTAAATCGTAGCAATGTTTCCAACAGTCTGCATTAATTACAGTTACTGTAACCATTAATTAATTATGCAACACCTCATTTAAGGACAAGGCTGCTATGCTAAACTTGAGACTATGTATTCCCGAGAAAATCCGGGAATATCAGCTAGTATAATTTAAAAACTAGCTTATTTAAATTGGTAGCAACATTTTGTGGTAAGCGGCCATGACTCCGTAAAACAATAGTATTGTGGGAGCCATTGATGTAGAGGTTAAGTAAAGCCTTAAAACTCATTGAAATAATCGTAGATCAAATAATCATTTTGGGAACCAACATCATCAACACTTAAATGAGAATAAACAAAATTTGTTCTTTTGGAAGCATTATTTAAAGCAATAAACACCCATAAAGCCTAAAATTTACTTATTAAAATCTGTTTTAGCGTCTTGAAAAATATTTTTTCAAGAAGAAAAAAAATGTAATATGATTTATATTTACAGTGTGTAGGAAATTAGAATGCCCTGCAGTACCAGATAAAGAAAATCCACTTTCTTTGATGGGAGACTACAAGTTATCTTCAGATTTTCCACCCGAAGTTTCAGCAGATGAAAATATCAATGATGGACATAACGAAATCACGACTCGAAGTTCGCAAAATACTCCTCCCACTCAGGTCAACTCAAAACTCACGACGGCGAAATCTGGAAGCTGTATCTCCGTCGTGTCTATCTCTCTGTTAACAACCATCGTCCTGGTCTCAGTTGGTGGGACATTAAAATAGTTGAACTCATTAGTGGCTGGATCTGAAATCAGTGCTTCTTTCAGATATTCCCGCCGGGGGGAAGGGGGGAGAGATTTAAAAATTTCTCGGGGGTGGGGAGGGGGGCGGGCGTCTGTGCCATTTGCAAGTAGCTAGAGGCGTAGCTAAGAGGTGGCATACATAAACTAAATTCACTCAGTTTTTGGCATGACCCAGTCATGGGCGCCCATGGCCCCAGTGTAATCATTTGACACAAGCTTATAATCACCCCTATACCGTAACATTGATCAGAGTGCGGGAAGGATGCAGAAATGTATTTTGCTAAAGACAGTCAGGCAAATTCAAAATGCAAGGGTGCATTTTTGGTGCATTCTTGAATTTGTTGTTTCTTTCAGACAATTTTGAGGTTCCGTTTCAGTTTTACGGGTGTTAAGTGCCAAAATTAGCCATAATGATGATCAAAGACATCTTAAATCCCGTACTAGCGGGACGTAAACTATAGTCATACTAGTTGTATTACCCTTGAGGTCACGCTTTTTCCCTAGATATTCTTGCTTCGTAAATCTTTATAGTCCCCAGAATTATTTTTTTTTAAATAAAAACTACAAGAATGCATTTTATCACATTAAGTGCTTCTTGTCCTGCTTGCACTAGGCAAAAAAAAATTATTGCCAAAAAAATAATATGGCTTTTATTTTTAATTTACATTATTTTAATTTACTTTTATTTTATTTTTTTAGCTTGGGGGGGGAGGTTAATAGCTACTTAATTAATAATTGAATTTTCAATTTAAAAAATAATATAGAAAAATTAATTAAAAAGATTCCATCACTAAAAACCACTGCAAACATGATTTTATATGCTGAACGCAAACGATGGAAAAAACAACGTACTTATAATAATTAGACTACCTTTTCTAAATATTTCCAAATTTTGCCAGAGTCAAAAATATTTTTAAAAACTGTTTATTAGAAAACTCTACATATTTTTATTGGTTTTGAAAACGGGTCATGATAAATCCTAAATGAACGACATAACTATTTTAAGAAGACATGAGTTATTTACAAAAGACATTATATATTTATTAATGTGTGATTGTTAAAGGGAAATCGTATGCAACCAAAGTATATATTTCACAAAATTCAGTGGATTGAAATGTTTATTTGTAATTTCAAAATACTATAACTTTTTTCCGATAAATTACAAATTTCCTCTTCGATAGCCCATACTTCAAAACACTTTTTTTTTTTTTTTTTTTTTTTCCCAAACCCAAAAATTTTTTTTTAATTAAAAATTTTGGAAATAATTTTTTTTGTTTTTTAAAATAAAAACAAAATTTTTTTTTTTTTTTTTTTTTTACCGAATCCACAGAATTTATTTTAAATGAACAATTTAGGAATAAGTTTTTTTGGTTTCTAAAACTAGAACCAACATTTTGTTTTTCATAGAATTGACATGATACTCAAAATGCTCGTTAACAAAAAAGCTTTTTTTTTTTTTTTTCCCTTTTTTTTTTTTAAAAATTTACCAACATTTTGTTTTTCATAGAATTGACATGATACTCAAAATGCTCGTTAACAAAAAAGCTTTTTTTTTTTTTTTTTTCCCTTCTTTTTTTTTAAAGATTTCTGATAGATTCCCATCTATTAAAAAAAATGTATGTACTTTTTTAACCTTTGTCATTCAGGAAACCTTGTTATAAAATTTGCACATTTAAAGCCAACACAAACACTTTTGATATAATAGGTGATAAAATGTGCACTTTTTGTGTGCGCTAGCTAAATTTTTAATTTTTAAAAAATACCTTTTTTTTTTTAAAGTTTCTATTTTAATAATAATAATAATAAATGGTCTTATTCTTATATAGCGCGGTTTCCGATAACTCAACACACGTGGAAGCGATTAAATTTACAGTTACGCAAATTTTTTTTTTAAAGCTAATTAAATAATTATTTGTAAGTTACCTGTATAACATATGGATAATTATTACATTTTTGTTAATATTTACATCTACGAAATATTGGCAATAGTTGATTTAATTAAATATTGTATAATTTACTTGAATGAAATTCCCTATTGATAATAGCCACTGGTAACTAATAACAGAAATTAAAATACAATTAAAACACAAAAGGTAAATAAAACTGTCCAACAAATTTTTTTTATGTTCAAATTCTTGAATGAAATTTATTTGATATTTATACATTTGTAAATAGAAAGAAAAATCATGATCAACAAAAAATAGCTCTAACAACTGAATCTTAACTTCCTGTTAACATTGTGTTTTTACAATACATTTCATTAACAAAATCAATAAACACATTTCCTCCCCCATTGAACAGTCAGTCAATAAACGTATCTATGTGCTGCTGCTATTTGCCAGCACATTGTACAATTAATAATTTGACAAGAGAAAAATGTATAAACTTAGGATATATGAGCAAAAATACTAAAATAGAACAGACAAATTACTGACAACTCACTGTTGGCAAACAACAAACTAGCATTGGATGGATCAAATAAATTGATAACTACATACATAAGATCTTGATAGATCAAAAAACTGTTGACTACAAAAGGCATTTAATCAATCCAACAATTTGTTGAAATAAGATTAGATAAAATAAAGTGTCTTGAAAAAATCCAACAAATTATTAACAAGAAAGTGCAAGATGGGTTTTAATTAAGTAGATACAAAAAATATTAACAACATGTAAAAGGTCTTGTATCAATCCAAGAAACTATTGACTACATTATAGGGTCTTGAATTTTCTTTGAAAAATATACATGATTGCCCTAAAATGTGCAGGTAAGTATACATTTATTTGACAATTTTCCACCTTGTTCGTCTGTTATGGGGGACTTTAATTAACTATCACTGAATAAATCCATGCCAACTTACATCCAGTACGTTACTTGCCCCATGCGACAAGACCGAACTCTGGATATGTGTTATGGTAATATAAAAAACGCCTACACATGTCGTGCTTTATTTCCACTTGGAGAATCCAATCACTCAATGGCTCGCCTAACGCCATGCTATAAGCCAGTTTTAAAAAGAACAAAAATTCATAAAAAACTATTGAACTGTGGTCAGATGATGCGACAGAAAAACTTCAAGCCTGCTTGAAATGCACAGACTGGGACACGTTTATAAACACTTGCCCGGACATTGACGAGCTAACAAACACCGTCAATTCCTACATTAAGTTCTGTGTAGAAATGATTCCCAAAAAAAAACATCCGAGTATTCAACAACAAACCCTGGATGAGCAGAGAAATAAATGAGGCCACCCACCACAAGAAGAACATGTTTAAGATTAACGGTAAGGAATTCATCAAAGCTAAAAAAATATTGAAGGAAAAAACATATCAGGGTAAAAAACAATACAAGCAAAAACTCGAAAAATTATTCACTACCAAGAATTCAAAGGCTTGTTGGGCAGGGCTAAAGCAAATAACAGGATATAACATTCTAAGCGAGAATGCTTATGTGTTGAGGAAGTGCGGAATTTCATTAACGACTTAAATGTAGTTTTGACAGCCTGGACTTTGGAAGAGTGCACAATGAGATGTTGAATTCATTTGAATATGGCAGTAGTACAAAGGATGGTACTTTATTGTTTACCGAACAGAGAGTGGTGTCATAGATGAAGTTCCCTTGGGTTATCCAGCGGCGTGGACAGAGGCGATTTGCTGTTGGGAACCAGCTTATAATCCTTGAAGAATAATCAAGGATGGTACTTTATTGTTTACCGAACAGAGAGTGGTGTCATAGATGAAGTTCCCTTGGGTTATCCAGCGGCGTGGACAGAGGCGATTTGCTGTTGGGAACCAGCTTATAATCCTTGAAGAATAATCCAAGGCCTTGTGGATTTCGTCCTCCGAAGCCCACATCATTGTCACATTGTGACGGACGGATGCCAGCAAAAAGAAAAAAAAAATACTCAATTTCAGGCGGATCTCATTCGCTATGGCATAAAATAAATTCCAGTAAGACTATTGATTACATCATTTTCCTGGTTCTGTAAATTAACAATCTTTTTTCGCAATATAAACAATTTTGAACTGCTTTTCTTTTAATTTTCATTTGCGCATCAAATTTTATGTGTGTACCATTTGATTCCATGCACTTTAATGCACAATGTAAAATATGATTATTTAATTATAACGCCATTTTTTTTAACATCTTAACTTAACTCCAAGGACTTTCAGGTTTTTGAGAGGAAAGAATGAAATAGCGATGGCTGGTGATAATGTAATGAGGAGGTCAATCTACGTATGTTTGCTGGTCACTTCCATTTCAGTATATTCAGTAATAGCAGGCAAGTTGACACCTATCACAAGCTAGCAGGACAATTAAATAAAACTTTTAGATCAATGTAAAACTAAAATTATGACATTGGCTTATTTCAAATAATCGTATCACCTTATTTTATACTTTAGGCAAAGCTAAGCTACTGAGGAACTTAAAGAGTGCATCCTATCCATGGTTTGGTGAAGCGTATAAAAGAAATTGCCCAGATTCAGAGGCCAATTGGCCACAGTGTTATAATTTACGGTGAGTTCAGTTATTTCAAGCATTTTATAGAATTTTATCCTTATCCTGTTTAGTGTCAGAATATATTTGTATATGTACAATTGACTGAATTGACAGCTTGACTAATAGAAACAATTTTAATAATACTAACAGCTTGACTGTTAGGAACGATTTGACTGATAGTTACAGCTAGACTGATAGGTTCAATGTGACTGATACTTATAACTGATTGATACACAATAGATGGCAGAAAAGGGTTAGAGGCCAAAGTCTTGATTAGCCGTAGACTTAACGAAAAACATAACAAGGAAACGGAGTCACAAGTTAAACACATAAACAAACAAACCAATGTGTACATTAGCACACACAAAATTCCAACAATTACGGTGACGCAGAGCAATTAAAGAGCACAGTTAAAAACACAAGAACAAAAAAATCCACCTGCGCTGGTCATCTACTGCATCCTTGTCTGTGTCCAGTCGTCTTGACTGATTCATTCCTTTAAAAGCAAACAACGACAGAGTGAGGCAACTCTCCTTCACTTTAAAATAAAATATTAAAAAATACAGCTCAATTCAAGGCTACTACTCAAGACTTGGTCATCTTCGCCTGCCAAGGACAAACGATTTTCATTTATGTATATGTTTACACAGAACTACACAATTTAAGATGCACGAGATGTTCAGAAATTGTGTGCGATTGAATGTAATTGTCATATTCTAAAAATCTGTTGTCATGTGTTTTTCTACTTTCTCCTACCTAGTCCCAATGAACAGGAATCGATCATCAGACGAGCAGGACTTCCAGACGATACTACACTGACAACAGAACTTGAGGTTGTGTTCAGTGCGCCTGAAGGTTTGCATCTATTTCTTTACTTCACTATTAAGTATATATTAGCACGCAATAGTATTACATTAACAGAATCATTGGGCCTACCTAATTTTTCCTTTTACCAGGATGCTTTAGACATTACTAAAGTGGCCATTTTTTATTCAGTTTGTTCTAAGCAGGAAAATGGGGCATGTGTCAACTTTTGTTAATAAACATTTCTGGTTTGGCTGTGTGCAAAAGTGAGACTTCGGAAATGTTAAGTTTTGTCTTGCAAAATGTTTTTGTTTTTAAATTAGGGCTAGGAGAAAGTATACCAACAAGCTGACTTTATGCAATCAAATGAAAATGGAGTCCTCTGCATGGTTTTCATGTACGATGGCTGAACTTCTTACTAAACCTGGCAAGCTTGGTCTGGCTAAAGATAATATGCAAAATATGTAATATAAAGCTGAAACAATTTAAAAATGAAAGGAACACAGCGATTGTTTGTCAGACTCATTAAGAGTACACATACAACGAATCTCACTTAATCCTAAACAACGGGCAATTGTATAATACTTTCTAGAGACTTTATTGAAAGTGTTTATGTCATATTCAATTAAATGCAGAAATGTAACTGAACATCTGACTGATAGTTGGCTACAAATGCAACCATTGTCTTGTTATATCCCATGTTTTAGAAGATATTGATGTCTGCGGCAAAGATGAGCCCATGAGTAAAGTGAACGAATTTATTTTAAATGAGGAAGGGATAGCAGCTGAGAGCTCTCTTGGTGTGAGTTACATTATTTTATAATTGCATGGTACAAATTATTATGGTACAAATAATCTAAATACATCCTATCAGGGCATTAACAATTCAGGTTAATTATAGTTCACACTATCATGCACCAAGATGTTAGGTTTCACAATTATACAATTGTGTCATAATATTGTAACTTTGAAATCAAAATTGTGAGGAAATTATCATTACATGCATTTGTATTTGCGTTGTTATGGTAAACAATATTTTGAATAAATCACTGTGAAGAAATTTTCGTAAAACACCATAATGTTTAACATGATATGAAACACGAAATAATGAAACTACAATACTACTGTTTATCCATTTACAAGATACACAATTATGGTGTACGATATATCAAATACATTACAACGGTACAAATCATTAATTACACGTTTACATAGCTCAACATTACGCTACAGATATCTTTGTACACATTTAAATTTGGGAAAACACATTCATTTAGCGTATAAATTAATCATGCACAATACATGTAATTATTGTAGACATTGTAACGTACACATTTTAGAAAACTAAATTGAAGTCATAGTCACATGATCAGCCTTATTATCTGCACTGGTCTTGTCGTATTTCTCTAAATGTTTATTGAACAGTTTCAGCAGCTCCTAACTCTGGTAATATTCTATCACAAGCTTGGTGCAGAGATCTACAGGAAACAGCCAAAAGTTAACTGGGACGCCAAGGAAGGTGTTATGTACACACTTATATTCTGGGACGTCGGGTTCTTCAAGATTCGTGGGTGGTTCTACAACATTGAGCTGAAAGGATCGGAAATGCTGGGATTGGTAATAAAGGTTTTTGTATTTATAAGCGATCAGAATCTTTAAATCAGAATACTTGTTAGACTTAACAGGACCTCACTGCATTCTGCAACAATATGTCCATCTTTTTGTGTATTTAAAATTATTTTAAACTAGGTATGACACAAATCTGGGATATGGGGCATTAACTTCCTATATTCTACCACAATATCGTTTATATTTCCAACACACACACACGCACACACACACACACTAGCACACACTGACACACAAGTCTGACATTTTGTTACTTGGCACAAAGACAAAATGGTCTTGCTAAAATAAATGAGGCATAAAATTTATTTTTGCTTCCTTAATTGTGGTCGTTGATTTGTTATTTCGCCATCTCAATAATCAGATATTATGATCCACGTGTCTGCATTGGTTGACAAGAATTTTTCTAAACGTTAGCAGCTTTTCTTGACTTTCTTGTCAACAAAGTCGTGTGAAAGTTTTAGCCGTTCTCCACTACTGTCAACTTCAGTACATCGAATGCTACAATTCCCAGCATTGCCAACTTCAGCTCATCAAATGCTACATATTCCTCAATAGTCATCTTAAGCTCATCAAATGTTATATTTTATTATTATTGCCATCTTCAGCTCATTTATTGCTACATTTTCCACTATAGCCATCTTAAGCTCATCAAATTGACAGTTTTTAAATCAGAAGTACACAGTGGCCACGTGATTTATTGTAGGAAGGTCATATGAAGAACGTTAAATACGTTTCTGGCTGCTTGACACTTGACCTCTGACCTTCAATGTTACTTTTTGGAAAACAGATTTAGCTTGATCATCAACAAAACAAATCTCTGTAGAGAAGACCGTAAATGTAATATTTACTGTTAACTTTGCTTTCTGTCTGATTTTTAAACACACACACTTGGTCGGCCCCCCATGGAAGAACCATTGACCAAAGTCATGACATAGCTGTACACGAGTCTACCTTCTGGAAGCGGGACTTTTCTTTGTTTCGGTTGGTGAAGACACTGTCAGTGACTTCAAATCCGTGAACCAAATACTTTTATACTTCTCCCGTTTGGTAACCTTTTTAAGTAGCGGTGCTACATCCCAACACCAACCATAAACCCAGTACTTCTTATGTTGTAATCTGTTATTGTATTTCAGACCAACTCTCCATACTATCCACCTGCCAACCCAACACCTAACATAAACCCAGTGCTTATCATGTTATTGGAGCAAACAAACAGCACAACCTCCAGCACTAACGAAACAATGAACTTGTGTGTAGAGACTATACCCAACCCACAGCGAGCAGAAAGGTGCAGGAATAGTGTCATAACGTGGCTGAAAGATGGTCTGAGTAAGTAGAATGAGCTATGACCAGTGGCCTAGCTAGGGGGGGGCGGGGGGACATATGTCCCCGGGCGCCACGTTAGGGGGCGCCAAAATGAGTATTGAAACTAACTATTTAATTTTATTAAAATATCTTCATTACAAACCTGTTGGAAAGCATAATTTTTGCGCCCCCATTGAGCATTTAGGGGCGCCATTCTACTCATAAAGAAATGACACATCCACAATGTAGGATTGCTGATGGTGTTGTTTTTTTTAAAACAAAGATCAGTTCGGGTTCAAATATTATTCTTCATAAACTGAAAGTAGCATCTGGTTTTAACAATTATACAGGTTGGATAATTTCGAGTCGAATATAGGATTTTACGTGAGTGCAAGGAAGATAGAATAATACTTCACATAAGTTGAAAAGAGAAAGATAGATAACAAGTATTTGTCTCATTGAATAATATCTGTAGCCTTCTCTCACTTGACGGCAGTTATCAACCGCCTGCAACGCCAGTCTTAGAACACGAAAGCAAGAAGGTTGAACCATACCGACAAGATTACAACATACAAGAAGATAGGATTAAGACAGTGGTACTGTTTAGGCTGAGGAAAACACCAGAGACGATGTTGTTGAACAGATTCAACAAGACGCTGACCTTTCTGACAGTGACGAGGACAATGAGATGGAATAATTTTCTTTTGATGAAGAAGCTAAAGATGGTGTTGTTCTTTTTCCTGCTGTCCTAAGATTTCATGATGTTGGCTATTTAGAATTTGATCAAACGACAAAGCTATCGATAATACCACAGCCTCTTCGTGATGAAATGATAACTCTAGGATCTATACCCTTTCAGCATAGAGGCAGTCTATCGTTAGCAGCAGGTGAACGTTCGATTACTACGTCATGGTTTAAACGCCGACTAGCAAATGGAGAGGAAGTAAATCGATCGTGGCTATTATATTCATCAATTAATAAAGCTGCTTACTGTTTTTGCTGTCTAGTGTTTACATCAAGTTCAAACTCACGATCTTCATTTGAGTTAATCGATGGTTTCAACAAATGGAGAAAGCCAGAAAAACTACAATCTCATGAAAACAGTCCCGGCCACCGCATAGCTTTTACTACATGGAAGGAAGCCGAGCGAGGATAATTGATACAACTGGAATTGATGTCCAGGTCCAAGCTCAAATTCAATTGGAAAAACAACGTTGGCGGGATATTTTGAAAAGAATACTTACCTGGATTAAGTTTCTAGTTTCTTAAAATTTGGCTTGGCACTGCGTGGCCATGAGAAACATCTGCATCAGGACGAGGATAAAAATGTTGGAATCTTTCTCTCTGTGATCAAACTCGTTGCTCAGTATGATCCACTGTTAGAAAAACACCTACAATATGCCCGAGAAAATCCAGGTTCAGTATCTTATTTATCACCGCAAATTTAAAATGAATGTATCCACCTACTTGCATTGACTGTAAGGAATCAACTGTTGAGTGAAATCATAAAAAAACAAGTACTACGGTATCTTACTTGACTCAACACCCGACTTAGGACACCGGGAACAGCTTTCTCAAGTCCTCAGATTTGTGGATGTGGATTTTCAAACTAAAAAAGTAACCATCAAAGAATCATTTTTAGGTTTTGTTCTGATCCATTCCAAAGACGCGGCAAGCCTTGAAAGAGTTATCGTAGAGAAACTGGAATCTGATAACATACCTCTAGCCGACTGTCGGTCACAATGTTATGACAATGCTGCTGTAATGACTGGGCATATATCCGGCCTTCAACAGCGAATATGTGCCAGAAATCACAGAGCATTGTTTGTCAACTGTGACAACCACAGCTTAAACTTAGCAGGAGTACACTATGTTATGACAATGCTGCTGTAATGACTGGGCATATATCCGGCCTTCAACAGCGAATATGTGCCAGAAATCACAGAGCATTGTTTGTCAACTGTGACAACCACAGCTTAAACTTAGCAGGAGTACACTCAGCTAAAGAGGATCCAGTTTTTATCACATTTTTTGGAAGAGTTGAAAGTATAAATTTGTTTTTCTCTCGTTCAACAACTCGTTGGGAAGAATTAAAAAGATTTATGCCAATTACAGTGAAGAGGGAGTCTGAAATACGCTGGAGTGCACGATCAGAAGCTGTTAAAGCAATTTATGAAATACTAGATAAACTAGTAGGGCTGATGGAAAAAGTATCAGAAAAAAGAAGAAGAAGACTCAAACAGGAGATATCAATACGGTTTTTACGTCTAAAAAATTAAACACCAAATTTGGATTTTTATTAGAATTCAAAACTCTTCTCGCCAAGACAAAATTGCTTAGATTTTGGAAATTCTACGACACTGACATCAATGGTCACGAATTATGCACAGAAATCGGAGACTACAAAATGCTGCTCAGTACCCTGACTGAAGTTCTACCGGAAACTCCTTTGGATCTTCTTGGTTTTATTGTTTCATATGGAGATGACGTATTTCCGAATATGCGCATTTTACTGCAAATACTTCTAACAAATTGCTGTTTCTATAGCAAGCTGTGAGCGGTCCTTCAGCAAACTGAAGCTTATTTTGTCTTATTGACGTGTTTCAATGGGACAAGATCGTCTGAGTGATCTTGCACTTCTTAGCATCGAAAGAGATAAACTTGAGAATATTAATTTTGACAACGTGATTGGCGTGTTTGCGACAATCAAATCAAGGAGGATCAATTTGTTGTAGAATATGTCTATTCCAGTCATGTATAATTAGTAGAGTATATATTTTTTTTCAAATAAATTGTTTACAATCGTATAGAGAATTATTAGTCTGTAATATATTTCATTAAAATACCAGATGCTTCAAAAATGAACAATATAAACCGTAAAATTTCAAAATTTTCTTGGGGGCTCAGACTGAGGCCCCAGATTCTGTCGGTCCGAGAAGGGGCGCTGACTTTGGGTCATGTCCCTGGGCTTATATGACCCTAGCTACGCCACTGGCTATGACCACACAAAAATATAATATTATGTTTTACTGATGCTAGATAAAAAAAACAGAAATTAATAGTTTCTGTAATAAATCGAACATAAACATGCAAAAAAAAAACGATATTTGCTATGAAATTAGAAAAACCATGATGTGTCACAATTACAGTGGGCCATTGCCTATCATTGTGACATAAAAAACATTTCATTCTGACATTCTTGAAATCAGTGTGTAGCACTGCCTGGCATTTTAAAAGGACGGTCTCAGCTTACAGAATGCCACTTAGGTGACACAGTTCCCCTTGTTATTTCTCAGCTTGGATGTTTTGACAGAATATTTTCATGTATAAAAGTTTCAAATTTGCTTTGGGGTGGAAATAACACATATGAAAATGAAACCGCTAATGTGCCACTAAACATTATAGATACATTCTTAATTTAATTTTTATTTCAAATCAAAATTTCAAAATTGTGCTTGGTGTACTCCACGTTAGATGATCAGATTCGATGCCCTTATATTTCATACACACAAAGATATATTTTTTACAGGCCATCCCTGTATTAACTATAAATCATGTTATGAACATGCATTAGGGACAAGGGAAAGGGGACAACAAAAAACATACTCTCAAAACAAAATCTAGGTTTACAAAACGTTTTCAAAAAATACTTTTATAGCTTAATATTTTAGAACTCATAATTTTAAATATATTTTCTATACCAAATAATTTTCTGCATAATGTCAACATCATCATATGAATATAAAATGAATTATCAGGCCAATATGAAAAGATAAAATGATTCATGCTCACACAGATACCACGAATTTTACCTGGAATTTCTTCTGATGGTGTTCCCTGATTAAATTTAGATGGTATCAAAACTTAAAACAGGATTGTGGAGGGTCTCAATAAAGCACCTCCCTACCCCCAAACCCCCCCACCCCACAAGAAAACCTCCGTTATCATTATTCCGGCGATCCCCCCACCCCCCTGGCCAAACTTAAAATACCTTTTATGGTGTCCCAGAGAATTCTTCTGAAATGAAGAGACAGATAATGACATGAAAGAATGCACTGTTACTCTCTATTGACATGCTTGACAACCAGTCATCAACTTCCCTTCATTTGTGTTTTTTTTTCCTTATTTGATTATTTTTATTTGTGTTGTTACAAGATCTAAACATTCCTTTTTAAAATGCCAGTATTCTTCAAATTCCTACAATCTTTTTGAGAGTACAAATGTTTTGGTTGTGGACAACGTAAGTTATGTCTATAATATAGAGCGTCTCCGTCTCCACAATTTTCGTCTCCAGCATAGACAGCTCCTGATAATTGTATTATTTTATTTTTTTAAATTTTTTGTTGTTTCTTTATTTTTCTTGACTGCCAAAGACGGCCTCTGGTCAGAACGTTATCCTGGGATTAGTTTGTCTTTTCATTTAAAACTTTTAACATGTGGTACTGAAATATTACATCAAGAAGTGGCGTCAGCAGGGCGAGTCTAGACTCTTATGCCCCCCCCCAAATTACCCCTCCCCGGTCCGACGTATCGGGCCGCGGAGAACCGGGAAGAACATGTGGTACTAAAATATACGATTACACTTTTTTGTTTAAGCTTCATAAAACTTTCTCAAAGTGTTATATTTGGGTTAGTCCAGATTTTGTAATCTTTTCATTTTACAGTTGACATATAATGCATATATTGAAATGCTCTACTGTAAAGTCGTAACATTATGTCGCCAATCTATACTTCAGATCTGGTTGGTCTTCAAGTCTACTATACAAATGGAGCTTCACTATACGAGAAATTCAGGGCATGCACTGAGAGCTTCATATGTGACAAGTCCTGCACAGATAAGTTCAATGGATGTAAGCAGAAATGGTTCTATTGTTGTTTTTCCAAAGAAACATTTTTTTTTAAAAATAACTCATTGACACCTTACAATAAATCTGTCGCATTGATTAAAGTGAACAATGAATTTCTTGATCGAAAATTTACTGGTGGACCACACTTCCGTTCCGTTGACACAACACATTTTTGTAACGGTGAAATTTCGTAACAATAGACACCGTAACGGTGTGACGTCTTACTAGATCTCTTATTGAACAGCAGTGACACCGTTTTTTTTTCAAACATGGTTCTAAATTACAATCATTTAATTCCTTACTTAATCGAGAAAAAAAAAGTACTAAGCTTTAATTGTGCACTCGGCAGAGAGACTCATTTCCAATTACAACCAAACTGAATAAAAAAATTTAACACAGCAAAGAAATATTTGCAGCTGAAGCTTTGCATCGTTTTCAAATGCACGTTAACGTTGAAGATGTGGCAGCTTCAGTGCATCTACTTTCGCCACTTACTTATGGAAGTCAAAAATGAAGAATTTTCATCTTTATATTAGCAAGTTTGAGGCTTTTATCCGAAGCTGGGTAGTTAGTTTAAAAAAAGGAGTTTTTTATCAAAGAAATCATTTTTTTTTTTTCAAAGTAATTCCCATCAAAGACTAGTTTAAAGATTAAAAAAGAAGAACACAATTTTAAAATTTCATAAAATGCATTACGAAAAAGAACGTTTGAGCATAAAATATATTTAATGTTCGTCTACATTCAGTTTCCATCCTTTGGCTACAGAGAGCGCCAGGCATTACTATATATATATATATATATATATATATATATATATATATATATATATATATATATATATATATATATATATATATATATATATATATATATATAATATTAATAATTGATTAAACAAGGGAGATCAGAAGCCATGTTCGGAATTAAAACAAAATCCTTAAAAAAAATTCGGGGTCAGATTTTCCTTTTCGCAGCACTTTCCAAACCTATAATTATTATGGCATAAATAATCACAAATATATTTCTTCTATTTATTGAGTTTTTGTTTGCGTGGAAAGTTTTGTTGGGTGTTGCTAGGGCTCCAACGACCAATTATTTTAATGGTGCTTTTCACGTTTTATCGGTCACCGGTTCTTTTCTCCCCTTGTCCGTTGAAGCATTGATGTCCGTCATACTGTTTGCAAATAAGTAAATAAGTAAGGAAACTTTTTTTTTTTTTAATGGGTTAGATGAAAACCTGGCATTCACAGGCCAAAAAAAAAATCATTTTGTTTTGCAATTCGTAAGTTTTTTTAAAAAAAGTAACACTTTATCAGACTTTCCCTCTGTAGCTTCTGCTAGAGGTGAAAGTTGGCATTAATGTGTGCGCGAAATATTTGATTTAAAACGTAGGAGCCATCTACTTTCAAGTTTCAATGAATTATATAATAAATTATAATCATCTATAACTCTATTTTAAATAAGTGTTTCCTTTATATAAATCTAATTCAAAAGTTTAAAGTCCAAATTCACAGGTCTACTTGTAATTTAAAGATTTTTTTTCAATTTAAATAATGTAGGTTACTTTTGTAGAGGGGTTAGAAATTTAGGCAATCAGTATGTTAAGACTGTGAGACAGTAAAAAAATCTAAGAGAATGCAGTCCACAGAAAATATTCATGACACTGAATTATTTGAATTTTTTACTTTAAATTATAAGGACTTAGCACACAAGGGTTAATTAGACTAGATATTAAGATTATTTCGTAAAGATTTTAATATCTTTTAGACTAGCTATTAAAATCCTTCAGACTAGATATTTAGATCATTTAGACTAGATATTAAGATTGTTTAGACTAGATATTAAGATTGTTTAGACTAGATATTAAGCTCATTTAGACTAGATATTAAGATTGTTTAGACTAGATATTAAGCTCATTTAGACTAGATATTAAGTTCATATAGACTAGATATAAGATTGTTTAGACTAGATATTAAGCTCATTTAGACTAGATATTAAGATTGTTTAGACTAGATATTAAGATCATTTAAACTAAAAATTAAGGTCATTTAGACTAAATATTAAGATCATTTAGATCAGATTTTAGGATAATTTTGACTAGATCTTAATATCATTTAGACTAGATATTAAGATCATGCACACTATATATTAAGATCATTTAGAATTGATGGCAGATTCAAAATATGTTTTAAAGCTAAAATTGGCAATCGAACACTCTAAGCACGGGTTCTGTTGGGTAACCAGTTAACTTCGGCGCGTTCGTTAAATATAGCAATTAAAATTTAGATTGGTTTTAATTTAAAATATTTAAAAAAAAATAATTATTGAGTTTTAAATAAAAATACGCAATATTTGTATAGAAATCCATTAAATATTAATAAAGGTCACGGCATCTTCGTCAGCTGTCATAGTACATCGTTATTTACATAACTGTAACATTAACATGTGCGACGCTTACAGTTAATGAAGAAAAACTGAAGAAAAAAACATAAATATGAATTAGGTTCATTTCTTTTCTATGCGTATTGAAAGAACGATTAATCGAAATGCAATTTTCTCAAATTAAAATTCTTGCTCAGACTTCTCTTGCACCATTCAATGCGTATGAGATTAAAATGTGTTTGTTTTTGACGATAGATGCTGCTGACAAAGGATGAATATAAACATTAGGAAATGGCGGCACATAACCGTCCAGATTAAACAACTTAATGGTCTTCCCAAAGCTCACCCCCCCCAACCCAATCAGCCCCAAAAGTACCCTTAATCCAGCCGCGAACCAGTGAGTTGGAGATCTCCTCCGCTAGGACAGACCCCGATCGTATCTACACCCGACTGACTTTCTTGACGGGGGCCATCTCAACCTAAGGCTATCCGGTCGGCCGGTGATGTTATTTTTTTATTTATTTCTTTTAAATTTCAAAATCGATCGAACTGTTTAACTGTCTAACACGTTCTCCTTCTTTTTTATAACCTTAGTCTACCAAAGAGATCAATACATTACCAGCAAAACTGCATTTATTACTGACCAACAGAAAAAACTGGATTTTTATGTCAACTTTCGTTTCACTGGAGTGACGGATAAAAAATTGAAATATACGTGCTGTCAAAACTTGATGCGAAAGTAAGTATCAAAAGTTACCAAAGTAAGTATCAAAAGTTACCAAAGTAAGTATCAAAAGCTACCAAAGTAAGTATCAATAGTTACCAAAATAAGTATCAGTCGTTTCCAAAGTAAGAATCAATATTTACCAAAGTATCAATAGTTACCAAAGTAAGTATCAAAAGTAATCATTCCAGAGTAGTGTACGATTATTGCTTTAAAAGAAAAATACGTGTTAACAGGTAGATACATGTATTGATTTAATTCTTTTTTTTTTTTTTTTTGGCGTTAATAGAACGAACAAAATGCTTTGCAGGCAAAAGATTGTTGGTTGAGATGATAAATGATACCATTTAAATCTACATTCAATACAAGCCACCATTTTAGTCATCAATTTTCCTTGAAATTGATACTTACTGTTTTTATAGCTGTAATCTAAAGCAGGGCTTCTTACAGCCATACCTTGGGTGGGGTGGGGGTGGGGGGTGCCTCCCCAGGGGAAAGTCAAGTGCACCCCCGGAGCAAAATGAGTACAACAATATAACGATTATATTTTTTGATTAAAAAAGACTAAATGGTCAATTGAAAGATTTTTTAAAAGGATTGTATCTGGAGCATTTAACCGATTACAATTTGTTGAATCTATGAAATATCGCTACGTTTGATTTATTTGATGATCCGTATATATAGGGCCAATCTTGTTAAATACTTACAGTATTCTATTAGAAATATTGTACTCGCCGCTCCTGATTTCAAACCGAACGCGTACTTAACGTTGTTCGCACTTAACGGAGTTTTTATTCATTTATTTTTTTGCAACTTCACAAATAAAAAGACTTTAATAACAACTTTAACTACCAATACATCAATATTTACTAGTTTATTTATTTAGGCATTTTTTATAGGGCTACCTTACAGCTCTAAGAGTTTTACCATTATTAAAAATATAAAGGTCTACTAGTCTAGTAACCGTTCTTGCTAAGTATCATACATTCGCAATTCATTTTAATTTATTTAGTTAATTATAAAATCATTACATTTAAAGTAGGGATATGTGTTAAGTTAATCATAAATTGTGGGATGATATTAGGCTGTAAAAAAAAAATAGTTTAATATCATTATTATAAATGAACTCGATTCCATGAATGTTTAGTTATATCAAATAGAATCTTTAAAAATTGAGATATCTTTGTTTAATTAAGAATTTAACGGGCTCATACAAATGGTGCACAATTCATCAAATATCGAAGGCGTTTGAGTTTTCTTTAAATTTAATGTGCTCCTTTTGTAACAAAGTTTTCTGAATAGCAGGTTTACAAAATTAATAAACTTTCATTTATTACATTACCAAATCCCTTTGTCCTTTTTAATATAGTAATATACAAACTGTCCCATCTAGTTGCAAGGAGTTTCAAAAAATTGATATTTCTCCTAGATAAGAATCTATGGGAATTTTTTTTTAAAAAGAAGTTTGTTTTAAAGACCATTTCGATTATCATGCCTATTCCATTTTTTTTTTTTTTTTGTTGGTACGCATTTTAGAAATTTTTTTTATTTATAATTTCTCAATTTAAAATAAATTCTGTAGATTTTGATAATAAAACGTTTTAAAGTATAACAACGTGGCAATTTGGAATTCATCTGAAAAATGTATAGTTGTAATTCAAAATAAAAATTTCAATCAACTAAATATTAGGAATTTTATATTTTATTTTGTAAAAAAACTCATGGCTTCTTTACATAATAATGGCGTTCATATACGATTTAAAAGAATTACCAGCTTTGAGAACCCATAAAAATTTATACATCTTTCTAATTTTAATTTTTTTCTAGTTTTTGACTCTGGGTAAATCTTGGAAATATTTAGCAAAGGTTATTTTTACACGTAAGTTTATTATAATAAGTATTCTGTTCATTGCGTTTAAGACAAAAAATGATTTAGGGCAGTGATTTTTGTGATGGAATCCATTTTTTTTCAGGCAAAAAAAAAAACATAGTATTACCTATGTAGTTGAGCCCCAAAAAAGTGTTGTTTTTTTTTTTAAATGTAAGCCAAATTACTATTAAGTAATGTAAATAATATTTACATAACACAAGCAGGTCGAGCAGAGCCGTCGACTTTTCGAGGCCACAATTGCCACTTTTTGCTTTTATTCTCACCCACCTTACATAGAGAGATGTATAAGGAAGAAAATATTCACATCACATCTGAAATATCCGAGGCCAACTGAACCCGTAAGGGGTTGCGGAGCTCACACAATGCTTCTTAGGTTTAGTGTAAGGGGCTGCGGAGCTCACACAATGCTTCTTAGGTTTAGTGTAAGGGGTTGCGGAGCTCACACAATGCTTCTTAGGTTTAGTGTAAGGGGCTGCGGAGCTCACACAATGCTTCTTAGGTTTAGTGTAAGGGGTTGCGGAGCTCACACAATGCTTCTTAGGTTTAGTGTAAGGGGCTGCGGAGCTCACACAATGCTTCTTAGGTTTAGTGACACCTACATTTTCTTGAACTAAAATTCTCTAAGTGTAGAAAGTAGCAAAACTAAATTAAAGTATTGACTAAAATCATTCTTGAATTTATCAAAACATTTCTAGGGACTATAAAGATTTAATTGTGCAATATTATGCTATTAAAAATACATACCCTTACGGGCACCAGACCTGGAATGAATTTAGTTTTTGTCCCGTTGGTGCGGCATTAAAGTTGCCTTGATCATTATCATAGATAATTTTGGTGACTCCCAAGTGAACGTTTAAAATGTCAAATCCAAAATATTTGAAAGAAACACTGAATTCAAGTATTTGCCAAAATTCCCCCCTTCATTTTTTTTTCAAAACTGTCTACAGCACCCCCAATTTCTAGACACCTTCCCCAAATCTGATCAATTTTGGAGATAAGCTTGTGCCAAACGATTACCCTGGGGAACCCTTGGAGTGAATTCACAATAATGCCTCTCCAGACCCTTAAAAATTTCCTTCCCTTGATCAAAAAGTCTAATAGAAACACTGAGTTCAACTATACTCTAAAATGCTCCTCTTGATTTTGAAATAATCAAACAAATTCTGGGGAGAAAACCCCTTCACCGCTCACAATTCCTTTTAACTACTTAATTGTGCCTTTTATCCCGTCTTGGGCATAGGGCGTCTACAAGAATGTTCCATTTTCTCTTTCCGTTCTAGTAGCTTCCATGTGTATCCCATAATTTATGTCTGCCAATAGCTCACGTCTCCATGTATTTGTTGACCTTATTGTCTGGTGATGTTATATGTGGGTTTTCAGATAGTGTTATTTATCTACATCCATATATTCCGTATGATGTCTTCAGCTATAGGCTCCTTGTATTTTCCATATAGTAAGTATTTGTTGAAGATGTTTTTGGCCATTTTATATTTATGATCAAGTATTTATGAAGGTCTGTACTTTCTGTGTATTGCTCGCTATTTTTCTACACGCGCGGCTCCATATTGTAGAACTATTTTGACATTTGTGTTGAAAAACTGATTATGGTTTGAATAATCAGCTCCTTTTACTCACATATTTTCTTTGATAGCACAAATGCTGACCTAGTCTTTCTAATTCTAGCCCTGACATCTGCTTCGGATCCACCATTTAAGTCGATGGTGCTGCCCAAGTATGTGAAGGCCTACACGTTTTCCAGTGTATTTCCTGCCAGAGAGATAATCTCCTGGTTGACTTAGTTTACCATTGTGATTTTCGTTATGCTTTTATTTATGTTAAATAAAAGCAAGATTGATCGACGCCCTCAATTTCAAACCCTCAACCCGATGAAAATGATCGATAATTTTGGTGACGATAGATACACTGCCTAGAAGCGTAGCTAATGTTATGGCCACCATGGGGTCCAAATATTTTTGTCGCTCTCCCTTTCACTTCATAAACTTTGCAGTTGTCCGAAAATGCTGCATCTCTGCATGCAGAGAAAGCTACACCTGGGTGAACAGCCTTGCCCTCCTCCTTTCTAAGACATTGTTAGCGGCGTAGCTAGAGTGTTTAGCGTCAGTGGCTATGATTCGTTTTTACGCTCACCCTCTAACCTGAAACTAATAATTGTTTTCAACTATCAAACACCATGAAAACTCATTTTCTTGCCCTGCTAGTCTGGTGCACCGCGACTTATGTCTTAACTGCTACCTATAAGCTACGTCTCTGTGCACATCCCACTTTTAACTGGCACTACCTCCTCCTCCTCCCCCACTCCACAAAAAAAAAAGAAATCCGAATGCCACACGGGGGAAAATGTCTGAAAGAAACACTGATATATAGCGACCTCATCATAGAAAGCTCATTACGTGTGCTAAAACAATGCACAATAAAGGAGCTCAAGAAATCCCAGATGGACAAAATTTAAAAAACACTTTAGAGGAGGTCACATAACATTACTGACAATATAATAGCATGAACCTCATGTACCCACTGTATAAAGACATTATGATAACATTAACCTCATGTACTAACAGACTGATGACAGTATGATAGCATACACGTTATGCACCTCACATTCCTTGTGCTGTCTACGGATACTAGTTGGCTTGATAACATTTAGCTCATTTACCAACTATCAGGTTACAATATGATAAAATTTAGCTCATTTACCCACTGCCTGGTTTACAGTATGATAACTTTCACCTGATGTAACGACTGCCTCATGATAACAGTTACCTCATGTACCCACTGCCTGATGATAACATGATAACAGTTACCTCATGTACCCACTGTCTGATGATAACATGATAACAGTTACCTCATGCACCCACTGCCTGATGATAACATGATAACAGTTACCTCATGTACCCACTGCCTAAATAATAACATGATAACAGTTACCTCATGTACCCACTGCCTAAATAATAACATGATAACAGTTACCTCATGTACCCACTGCCTGATGATAACATGATAACAGTTACCTCATGTACCCACTGCCTGATGATAACATGATAACAGTTACCTCATGTACCCACTGCCTGATGATAACATGATAACAGTTACCTCATGTACCCACTGCCTGATGATAACATGATAACAGTTACCTCATGTACCCACTGCCTGATGATAACATGATAACAGTTACCTCATGTACCCACTGCCTGATGATAACATGATAACAGTTACCTCATGTACCCACTGCCTGATGATAACATGATAACAGTTACCTCATGTACCCACTGCCTGATGATAACATGATAACAGTTACCTCATGTACCCACTGCCTGATGATAACATGATAACAGTTACCTCATGTACCCACTGCCTGATGATAACATGATAACAGTTACCTCATGTACCCACTGCCTGATGATAACATGATAACAGTTACCTCATGTACCCACTGCCTGATGATAACATGATAACAGTTACCTCATGTACCCACTGCCTGATGATAACATGATAACAGTTACCTCATGTACCCACTGCCTGATGATAACATGATAACAGTTACCTCATGTACCCACTGCCTGATGATAACATGATAACAGTTACCTCATGTACCCACTGCCTGATGATAACATGATAACAGTTACCTCATGTACCCACTGCCTGATGATAACATGATAACAGTTACCTCATGTACCCACTGCCTGATGATAACATGATAACTTTCACCTGATGTAACGACTGCCTGATGATAACATGATAACAGTTACCTCATGTACCCACTGCCTGATGATAACATGATAACAGTTACCTCATGTACCCACTGCCTGATGATAACATGATAACAGTTACCTCATGTACCCACTGTCTGATGACAGTATGATAACAGTTACCTCATGTAACCACTGTCTGATGACAGTATGATAACAGTTACCTCATGTACCCACTGTCTGATGACAGTATGATAACAGTTATCTCATGTACCCACTGTCTGATGACACTATGATAACAGTTACCTCATGTACCCGCTGTCTGATGACAGTATGATAACAGTTACCTCATGTACCCGCTGTCTGATGACAGTATGATAACAGTTACCTCATGTACCCACTGTCTGATGACAGTATGATAACAGTTACCTCATGTACCCGCTGTCTGATGATAGTATGATAACAGTTACCTCATGTACTCACTGTCTGATGACAGTATGATAACAGTTACCTCATGTACCCACTGTCTGATGACAGTATGATAACAGTTACCTCATTTACACACAGTCTGTTAACTGTATGATAACATTCATCTCAAGTAAACACTGTCTGATGACAAGATGATAATTTTCAACTTATGTACCCACTGTCTAATGACAGTATGATAACATTCTTATCATGCACCCACTGTCTGATGACAGTATGTTAACATTCACATCAAGAACCCAAAGTCTGTTGACAGTATGTTAACATTCACATCAAGCACCCACTGTCTGATGACAGTATGTTAACATTCACATCAAGCACCAACTGTCTGATGACAGTATAATAACATTCACATCAAGCAGCTACTGTCTGGTGACAGTATGATAACATTCACATCATGCACCCACTGTCTGATGAAAGTATGATAACATTCACATCAACAACCCACTGTCTGATGCCAGTATGTTAACATTCACATCATGCACCCACTGTCTGATGACATTATGATAACATTCACATCATTCACCAACTGTCTGATGACAGTATGATAACATTCACATCAAACACTCACTGTCTGATGACAGTATGTTAACATTCACATCATGCACGCACCATCTGGTGGGAGTTTGATAACATTCACATCATGCACCCACTGTCTGATGACAGTATGTTAACTTTCACATCAAGCACCCACTGTCTCATGACATTATGATATCTTTCACATCAAACACCCACTGTCTGATGACATTATATTAACTTTTACATCAAGCACCCACTGTCTCATGACAGTATGTTAACTTTTACTTCATTTGCCCACTGTCTGATAACGATATGATAACATTTACCTCATGTACCCACTGTCTGATGACAGTATGATAACATTCACCTTATCGACCCATTTTTTTACTGACACTATGATAACAATGGTCTTATGTACTTACGGTCTGATGACAACATTTTAACATTCGCTTCATGTACCCACTGTCTGATAACAATAAGAGTACAATCACCTGTTACGCACTGTTGTCAGTTAGGAGAACTTAATCTCTTATATCGTTAATCGTATGGCTCGTTCTAAAACAGTACACAACAAAAGACGATGCCATATGTTAAAAACAAATAAAAGAATACTATACTCAAACTAGGAGCTAATAACAAATGATGAATTTTACTATGTTAATTATAAATTACATACTCAAAAAGAAATATTATTAAAGCTGTTGATTAACAGTATAATGATTGAGAGTCGAAGAATATACAATGTTATAAAAAATGAACAATCATGAAAAGGAATCTACAGACACACACACACACAAAAAGTAAAATAAGCCTTCAAGCGAAAAAGCACACGTTCAAAATAACTCTAGTCAGTAGTCTCGTCTGTCGTTCAAACCTTCGTTTTTTATATAGCCTGTTTCTTTAGACAATTCTAGATAGGCTACGCATTGTATTCTCTTCCCGCTGCTTGTACAACAGTTTACAAAACTCGAATCATGAAACTGACCATAGATTTTGTTTGATTGTAGCTGAGGTCAAAGAGAGACTTTAACTAGTAATTTCCGCCTACTAATAGAGCATCCGAACATGGGGTCAGCTTAAGTTCATTCACCAGAAAGATGAATGAAAGCAAATGGGGTGCCGTAACACACCTCGTATACTGACTGTCTGATAGCAATTTGATTACAATCGCCTCGCATACCCACTGCTGAGGACAAAATGATAACATTCACATTATGTACCCACTGACAGGTAAATAAACACAATTTAAATGGATATTAATCAATTTAATCTTTGATAACGTCAGGAAATTTGAATACCGCCCCAGGCCAGGAAATAATGACAGTGAAATCTATGTCGGTATGGTTTCCCCAATGCTCTTTGAATCTCGAATGACGCTTGAAATGTCAGGACCTGTAGATGCCTTACGAGGTATTTATAATATGAAACTGGAAATTCATAACTAATCCCGTGCTCTACAATATATTTATAATCCTACAACGTGTGTCCCTACCCATTGTATTGTGACCACGTCACAAGACAACGGTGCCGATTTGGAACGTGCCATACTCAAATGTAAAGGCTACAAACGGTGGACGGCAAAGCTGATATCATTAGATGATCCAATTTGCTCGAAAAGATGGTCTAAAAAGTTTGAGGTAGAAGGCGATATAGAGCACAATGAGACACTAACAGTTGTCCACTTAATCGTTGCCTTTTTACCGTCATTTCCCTCGTCATTTAATAAAAATTAAAAAATTGGCAGCGAAAGAAGCCCCAGCATCGACCACGATTATCCTTGGTTTTGGAAACAGGCGTCAAGTTAAAATGAAAACAAAAACTCAGACAAAGACTCACAAGACTAAATACAAGTTGTGCAATATAATCGAAACGCTTTTAAATGTATTTGCATGAATAATAATAATAAGCTTAGCTTATGTATGAAGCCATGGCAATCACTATTTGCTACGTAGGCGCCACGCACGTGTGTTTGATCAAATCGTAACAAAATCCAATCTTTAAAAGAAAAATGATTTAAACATATATTTTTCTTTTTTAATCGTGAAATAAATAAATGTTAGTCTGGTTGTTGTTTATATTAAGTTTAGCAAGTATTTATTATTTCAAGAACGGAAAATAAATTACATGTGAAATACGTGTCTATAAAAAACGTTTTAAATTTGAATTTTCAAAAGACGATATCTGCATAAAGACGATACCATCCATTTCATTGAAAATCATCAACTCGAAATAATGTTGAAATTTTTGTCCTTACAGAAAACGACACTTACTATTCTGTGGTAATATTTGATATCGATGCCCTAGCCTGCCTTCCCGGACCATATATGCATCATGTCATTGCCAACTTGGAATATCCAGGTGAGCGGAAATAATAATGAGCAGAAAATTTAACTAAAAGGACTGCATTCAATTCTAGTGAATGGATGAAATAGCAAAACGAGGTATGTGGAAGCTTGAATTAGAGAAGATGACAAAAAAAAAGGACGTTTCTGCAAAAAGCCTTCTTCAGCTAACAGTAGAAATGAAAATATAAATTTATATACTGTTTTCAATAAAAATTATATATACTGTTATATATTTTTGAAATATATGTATTTATATATAATGTTATGCCGAAACATCCTTATTTTTTTCTTTCCTTTTCTCTAATTCAAGCTTCCACATACCTCGTTTTGCTATTTCATCCAGTATTAATGAGATAGATTATTGCCATATCACCGGCCGGTATTAATGATATCTAACATATCCAATGAATGGAACATTGTAATATCCAATAAATCCAGGATAGTGGATGGTAATAATAGGATATAATCCTGTTGACTTTGGCACAATTCACATATACGTAGTTGAAGACATATAAACACCCGTACACGAAGACAAACATAATGACCAACTTATAATTATTTTTTCTTGTTCATTAATTAAAGGAAGATTATTTGTTTTAAACTGCCGTGTGCTGAAAATGTGGTCTAAATTTTATTTGGAAAATACTCGAAAGCAGATTGTAAGCGGAGAATCTCACGCTAAAAGAAAGTGTTATTTTGACCAGCCAATTAAAGGAGGAATGTGTTGCAGGATAAGATGCGATGCCTACTCTCTACTGATAGCGACGTGACATAGTTTGGAGGAATGTGTCATAGCACAAGACGCGATGGCTAGCGAGATGAATGATTTTGGACGAATGTGTCATAGTATAAGACGCGATGCCTACTCTCTACTGATAGCGAGATGAAGTAGTTTGAAGGAATGTGTCATAGCATAAGACGCGATGCCTACTCTCTACTGATAGCGAGATGAAGTAGTTTGAAGGAATGTGCCATAGCATAAGACGCGATGCCTACTCTCTACTGAAGCAGTAAAGTTAACGACTGAAACAAACTACATTTTTAAATGTCTGAATACATCGTGCAGTCATCTTACATTTGTTCTCAGTATTCTCTCGTATGGGATTGATTAGTAGTCCAACTATGAGGGTATCGTATCTAACTATGTGAGAATTGACTCCATCTATGAGATTATCGAATCCAATTATGTGAGAATTGACTCCAACTATGTGAGTATCGAGTCCAACTATGTCATCATCGAGTTCAACTATGTTAGCGAAAAGATCAGTTGTGTGAGCCTTGAGTCCGAGTACGTGACTTTCGAGTCCAACTATATGAGCATCAATTTAAAGTATGTGAGCATCGAATCGAAGTACTACAGCATCGAGTCCATCAATACGAGTTTCGAGCGTAAACTCTACAGCTTAAAATACGCGACGTAAGTTAGGTATTAGATTGAACATTTAACAAATCAGTTAGGATTCTGAAATATTCCCAATCTCGTAAGATGCAAGCAAAGACATCTGTTACATTTACAAGAACTGATGAAAGAAGGCAAAATGTGAAGGTTTATAGAACAAAAATCATTCATTATGGTCTCAAAATACCCGGACCCGAAGTAAAAAAAAAAAACTTCCACCCCCCTCCCCCCCACGGTTAAGCCCTAGTAAGATATTTTTTTGGAAATATATAGATACATTTTTCAAAAACACAGTTCTTTTATTTAACTCGGTAGACTTAGTTTGGCTCTTTTTCAGGCCGACATCTTGAAATGCAAAACTTAAAAAAGAATGATTACGTACCTCCATGGCCTGGTGGTGAAATAACTCACACCTATCTCATTATTCTGTATTCACACAAGGAAGAGATGTATATGCCAGGGTAAGTATGGAAAATGAATTATTGTCAAAGACGCTACGCCACGCATAGTTTATTCTGATGCGTCTAGATTCCTTTACATTCACTCAAACCATGTGCGTGCGTACGTGTGTGTGTATGTATGAGTGAGTGCAGTGCTTTTTTGTAACAAGAAAAGTGCCTGTAGTGACGTCTTTTAGTTGTCATTCACTACGACGACACGCAACAGGGGTGAGGGGCTTACGATTTTATGACCAACTATTATGATGGTGTCTATATCACGTGAAAAAAAGTGTGACGATTTTTTGGGTTTGGGGGGGGGGGAGTTGGCGCAAATGCGGTAGAAATGGCGTGACGTCATTGGTCCCTTATTTTACAATATATATTTAAGTATATATATATTCCATCATAGGTCATTTATATGTGTTGTTTTGATTTGCTTCCCAATATCAGATTACAACTATTATGATGGTGTCTATATCACGTGAAAAAAAGTGTGACGATTTTTTGGGTTTGGGGGGGGGGAGTTGGCGCAAATGCGGTAGAAATGGGGTGACGTCATTGGTCCCTTATTTTACAATATATATTTAAGTATATATATATTCCATCATAGGTCATTTACATGTGTTGTTTTGATTTGCTTCCCAATATCAGATTCAGAAATATTACCAAGTGTTATTTTTGTGTGTTCTTCTGGACGAGTGGTTGAGAAGTAACTGGTTTTTTTAATGATTTTTTTCACCAATATGCTACGCTGGACAGGGTGATTTAAGTAAAGGTGGACCAAACATATAATTGACAAAAGTTATTTACAAAATCAGTTAAAAAAGATTCGTCAGTACGCATTTCGGGTTCGCTCTACGATTAAAAAAAAGACCTTTATTTATGTATATAGTTTTATAAATATATTCTTAAATATATTTGTATTTATATATATTTACAAAACAATATGTTACTTTTGTTTAACTCATGTAATCATCTCGTACCCGATGGGATCCTGTTCGCCGTTGCAATCCCGATTCCCGGTGGAATCGCATTCCCATTGGGATCAAAGTCCCGGTGCTATCCCCTTTCCTCGCTATCCCAATGGCCTGGTGAGATCTAGTTCCCTGAAATAATAGCGTTTCTCGGTTGGATCGCTTTTCAATAAGATTTTAGATACCACAATTTATCCCAGTAGATTTAATGTATTACCCCCACCCCTTTATTTTTTAAGCCCCAGAACGATGTTACAAATTAATTTTCTACAAAATCAACTTTTGAATACGAAAAAATCTGCATCAAAAGATATTAATTGTAACCATTTTTAACTTAAGTTTTATGAAAGTGCCATAGTGGGGGATCATTTCAAAATTTTCCGTTTTAGTTATGACCCGAATGATTAAAAAAGGAATGATACTTATTTAGTAAAAATTTTAACATTTGTATGGTTAAAATCAGTTGCAAAAGTACAGGAGTTCTGGCCTTTTAAAATTATCGAGCTCTGTAGAAAGTTCTGTGAGCCTCGAATTGACTGGACACTTTTAAATCCAACAATATTTCAATAAAAACTGTAAAGTGTATGAGCTAGATCAGGGGTCAGGAACTCTTTGAATGATAAGAGAGCCACATCTTCGTCAACATATATGAAATGATTACAAGAAAGTAGGGTTTAACCTGGAAAAAGGAACGCAACAAAGGTGTCGGCAGGAAGCCTTTGTCAACGAAAAAAAACAACAGAAAAAACAAGATAAAATTAAAATTAAAAAATAGCACTTAGCTTAGAAGTAGTATCCGAGAGGGCAGCAAATGAATTGTGACAGAAAGTAAGTGGGTGCGAGATCAAATAAGAAGAGAGAAAGAAAAGAGGATAATTAAGTCCACTACGATAGCTCGGGACATGGTGGGGTGGAGCTGGTTTCAAGCTGTGAAAAGAGACATGACGTTCATACCATGTGGTGTCAATGTGGTGCCATAGGTCAGGATAAGCTTGTGTTCCAAATTCACCCAGCTGATTGTGTTCGTGCTAGCCACGATCGAACATATTGAAAAAGCCCTGTTGGTCGTTACTATTGAAGTGTTTCGAGACAGTGCTTGTCAAATATCTTTTTTGTTCGTCCGTCGAAGATCGACGTTGACCATCGAGTCGTCTGGTGACTGATGACTTGCGCGATTGACTTTTGTTTAAAGCGAGGAAGAGTTGCGCGGCGTCAACCTCACTCTCTCATCCGGGCCCACCATATCCAGTGGCAAGACTCTACGTCAAGATGAACAGGGATGGGTACGGCTGAAGGAATTGTCATTGAATGCGCCTTACGGGACTCCAACTCCGGATTTGAATTCAGAGTTTCCTTCTCTTAGATGAGTTGCCCGGGGAGATGTTTTTGCTTGACCGGCCTTTGGCTGGAATTGAACTCCAGACGAGGGCATCAAGGGGGCATTAGGACCAAACGCTTTAAAAATGGCTCCCCTCAAGTCCAAGAAAAGCCAAGTTGTCATAAAACCAATCGATCGAATTCGGCTTTGGGTTGAGCATTATCTTGAACTATACGCATCAATGAATGTAGTCACTGATATTGCTCTGAATAACATTCCTGTCTTTTCAATAATAGAAAAAATAGATGAATAAGCAATTATGTAGGAACTCGAAAAAGCAAGTATTGATTACCTTGCTGACGATAAGGCTCCAGGGATTGACGGAATTCCTCCGGGATTCCTCAAAATTGAAAATCTATCCTAAAAAATAGCTTCAATGAGGCCTGTGCGCTCAACATGTTACTATATGGCTGGGAAGTGTAGGCCACATATACCAGTTAGGGGCGAAACTCAACAGCTTCGATCAAAGAAGTCTTCATCGCATTTAATGCAATCGATTGCAGAACTGGGTGTCTAACACGGAGGTCTTGGAGCGTGCAAAAAATTCGTAGCATATTCTCAGCTATTAGCAAGAGGCGCTTCCCTAGTTAGGTCATGTAAGGAGAATGCAAGAAGGCCTCATTCCAAATATTCTGCTGTGTGGAGGGTTGGCAGAATGGTCAAGACTGATAGGCGGCTGCTGTTTAAGGGCATTTGCAAAGGAGCACGAGGGAAGCAAACAAAGATAACTGGAAAGAGATCATCACTGAGCATTGTTCCAGCTGGCGAACAGCAGTGTGTGAAAGGGTAAATACAAAAAGACAGAGGATTGCGCGAAACTAATACCTTGCAACAATAAGAGCATTGCGGAGAACCAAGTCTACCCAGAAGTCAAGGTTCTACTACGAGAAATGCAGCAGAGACTGCCACATCAGGATCGGCTTAGTAAGCCATTTGATAAAGTGTACATTGTCTCCCGAAAACTGAAAGATGCCATGGATGCACAGTAGAGCATCAAGTTATCCGCAAGCCGATTATCCATGGCACGGAGCATTAGTGTACAACAAATACCGGTAAATTATTTCGACCCCGGTCGTCAAATCCATTCTCTCACGTATAGTTTGGGGCCATTGAAACCGGTACGTCTTTAGTAATCGAACGTGTGGTCTTGTCGTAATCGCCTGCGTACATCGAAAGTTGTGTCGACCCAGATTTTACCAGAATTTTTTGACTCACGTGAAGACAGTTACGCATCTGTTGATTAACAAGATATCTGCGCTTACGCCATTCACTCACAGAGAACGTTCGCAACATCATACGACGCGATGATTCGGGCCAGTAATCGGATTAGGTTTATAAAGACTTTTGCCTGAAAGTATTGTGTCCAGATGCATTTGTCAAGAATGTGTTGGGGGGGGGGGCTAAAAAGTGCTAAAAATTCACTTTTAAAAAAAATTACGTTTATTCCCTTAAATCCACTTATAAGATTATGCGAAAGTATGAAAAAACAAAGAAATTTTAACATTTGCCTTATTTATAGTCTCTTTTAAAATTGAAAATACACAATTCATCGTTGTTGTTTTTTTAAATCACTTTGAATTATAATAATTTTTATAATTGACAAACGAATGGCATCAGTGAATTGGCGTCAGCGAAGTGGCGTCAGCGAAGTGGCGTCAGTGAATTGGCGTCAGTAAAGTGGCGTCAGTGCATTGGTGCCAGTGACGTGGCATTAGTGAAGTAGCTTCAGCGAATTGGCGTCAGTGCATTGGCGTCAGCGAATTGGCGTCAGTGAATTGGCGTCAGTGCATTGGCGGCAGTGACGTGGCATCAGTGAAGTAGCTTCAGCGAATTGGCGTCAACGAATTGGCGTCAGTGAATTGGCGTCAGTGAATTGGCGTCAGTGCATTGGCGTCAGCGAATTGGCGTCAGGGAATTGGCGTAAGTGCATTGGCGTCAGTGCATTGGCGGTAGTTACGTGGCATCAGTGAAGTAGCTCAGCGAATTGGCGTCAGCGAATTGGCGTCAGCGAATTGGCGTCAGCGAATTGGCGTCAGTGAATTGTCGTCAGTGCATTGGCGTCAGCGAATTGGCGTCAGTGAATTGGCGTCAGAGTACTAACTCCAAATTATAAAAAATAAAAAAAAAATATTAAAATGTTCCGAACTTCATTGAACAAATCAGTAGGTTTTCAAATGTTAAGGGAAATTTAAAAAGGTAAAAGCTGACTCTCTACCAATCTAACCAGTAAACGACGGGAAGATGTGATGAACATTGTTTGTTTTTAAAATTGTACTTTGTCATTTGTATACCAATTTTTGCAGCAGAGCTCCTCCCATATACAATTGTTATCATAATCTTAATTACTTTGCATAAAACACATTTTACATCTTTTAAACGTCTCGAAATATGTGTGTATCTTAAATTAAATATAATCATTAAAAACTTTCATGTGATCTGCCTTAATTAATCTATTAAGTTTTTAAGTTGTTGGTAATCATCTTAAAAATCATTTTTTTTTTGAAGTATATAGAAAAATAAGTCTAGTAAAAAATAATAATTTTGATTAATTATAAGGTAATTCGTTCCGAAAATATATTAACAGGCCCTAAAACAAAATTTTGCGTATGAATCATTTTTATGCATTTGTATTTGTATGTGTGTAACTGTATGTGCTTTATCATTTAAGGGATTGTAGCAACTGATTTTTTGGATGATAATGGTTTCTATAAAATATGTAAAACCAAATAAACTAAAGATATATTTTAAACACAAATACGTCATCAATGCAAAGCATGTAGGAACGGCTACACAATTAATATCCACACCAAAACAAGCGACTATTGAACAAATCGTAGTTCATACATCTTCCCTTTGAAAAACAGAAAGAAAAAAACCCGAGGTCTGGGGGGGGGGGGGGGGGGTTGTGGGGGTGTTTGCGGTGGGGCTGAAAATACGTTCGAATGTGTTGTCACCTGAAACAAGTCTATTTGCCATTTCGTTAGGATGACGGGAAGTGGGTCCGTTGGCTTTCTTAAGATTTTACCCCAAACACACGAATGAAAGCGAAGTTATTATAACTCAATCAATCCCTGTGGCGTTACAGCCATTGGAGGGCTTTGGCCTGCCTCACTACCTCCTTCCGCTCAGACCTAACTAATGCTTTTCTTTTCCATGCTTGGATTCCCCGCCGCAGTAGATCTTTTTCCACCATATCCATCCATCTAAGCCTAGGTCTGTCTTTGAGCCGCTTTCCTCTGGAATTTCGGTGATGCACCCTCTTCACTACTCTCTCCTTTTGCATTCTTTCTAAGTGTCCTGCCAAGCGTAGCCGACCCAGACCTGTTTACCCTTCAACTCTTAAAATCGTACAATATCATCACAAAATCGTTCAGTACATTATCTTAATAGTAAAAAAATAAACATACAGTATATATAATGTATACATCTTAAAATCGTACATTGTACACCAAAATCGTACATTGTACACCAAAATCGTACATTGTACACCAAAATCGTACATTGTACGCCAAAATCGTACATTGTACACCAAAATCGTACATTGTACGCCACAATCGTACATTGTACACCAAAATCGTACATTGTACGCCAAAATCGTACATTGTACGCCAAAATCGTACATTGTACACCAAAATCGTACATTGTACACCAAAATCGTACATTGTACACCAAAATCGTACATTGTACACCAAAATCGTACATTGTACGCCAAAATCGTACATTGTACACCAAAATCGTACATTGTACACCAAAATCGTACATTGTACACCAAAATCGTAAGAGTAAACAGGTCTGCCGACCCTTTTTTTTATCCCTGCTACTATCGTGGTATGCCGATATAGACTGTACAATTCCTGGTTGGTTCGTATTCTCCATCCATATTCATCCTTTGTTCGTCCATATATTTTCCTGAGAACTTTTCTCTCCAATGTGTTTACCCGGTTTTCTGCCGTTTTTGTTAGGGTCCAAGTTTCAACCCCTCTGATGACAGTTTTATAAATAGTTCTTTTTTTTTTCTTTTGTAATGTTTTTACTTTTTAGTATTTTCTGACTCCTGAAGTATACACCCCTTTGTCCGGCTGATATTCTTTCTTTTCTTTCTGTTAGTAATTCGTTTCTTTCATTCAATAAAGATCCTAGGTATTTGAATTGATTTACTTTCTCATGAGTCCGGTTTCTAATTGTAATCGCTTCATCTGTCTGTTCTCTTATCATAGTCATGTATTTTGTTTGTTTTTTTTGGTTGTTACCCTAAGGGATTTAATTATATTTTTTTAAACTAGAAATACATTTTTTCCGCATAAATCCTTTCAATGCATGGAGAGACAGTTAATTTGGTCCCGGTTACCCGTGCCCCCCACCCCCACTCCATTTATTTACCCCCACGAGAGTTCACTGAAAACGTCATTGGTTCCAAAGATTGCTTATCCTTTAGTTCTACTTGAACGATGCAAATTGTAATGGTTGATTTTTTTTTTTAAATGTTTCTATTTTTATTTCGTTTGATGTTTTGCCATGGTTTAAGCATTTCCTAGTCATGATATAAACTCAAAGACATTGCAATTTAAAAACATTAATAACTTGGAAATGAAACGTGGTTTAATGTGGAACGCCAATAACTTCCACCGGGAAGATTTGGTTTTCGGGGTGGTGCGTAGAAGTATAAAACTAGCTATTTTCTGAGATTTTTTTTTTAATTTACAGCTGAAAAGAAATTGAAATAAAGTAATTGTGGTGATCTGACTTAGGTTTTACATGTGAGTAGTATCTCGCGTATGAGATATCCTCGTGGCACTCTGTCTAGGGGATTAATCTAATTTAAGCCAAATTACCACACAAACATAATAATCTATCTATATACATATAGAGTGAAACGAAGTCTTTGTTAAAGGAGAAAATAATGGCAAGGATTTTTTCACTTAGGGTATTTACATTAACTCCAAATATTTGCTACACCTCTTCCTCCATGATACGTCACTGCACACTTTTTATTTCACGCCCATGAACTATATTAATATTCTCATATCCGAACCACTTTTAAACCGAAAATTTTCTACACAATACTTAAACTGAGACGATTTCATTTCCGAAAAGAGAATATTACGCACCAAACGCAATTGCGTTATTATATATATATATATATATATCATTTAGCATAGTTATACTGAATCATATTTTACGCGCTAATGAACTCATTATTGAACCACACTTTGCCGTATCTATAAATATAGCCTGCGTGGTGTTTGACCCGTCTTGTTTGACCTTTGCTGGCGAATTATATATATAGATATATACAAAATGGAATACTGTAAAATTAAGATTTTATATTAATGCAAAACAAGTGTCCCAAAAATAATGATAATGTCATCATTATAAATGCTATATGTGCTAAAGATTATATGTTCAATCGATGTGGACTTAGCCTTTATAGTTCCACTGTTGATCTCGACGGGTCAACAAATGTGGGAGTTTCTTCTGTTCCAAAAATGTGTCCTCCGTTCCTGTCCTCGGAGCTTTTCAAAGCGAAGTAGGCGTTCCCGGTCTTAGAATGCGACAACGTCTTGTTCCAAGAGGTTAGGGCAGCGGTTCTCAACCTGTGGGTCGCGATCCCTTCGGGGGTCGCCTAAGACCATTGTAAAACACACATTACCGATGCTGATGGTCTTAGAAACCGATTGATTTGGTCCAGAAAAAAAAAACAGAGATGTCAAAACATTTCATTATAATTGGAGACGAAGTTTTTACGAAACTGAGTGCAATTTCCTTATCTAACGACAATGTCCACAGAAGAACAGATGACATGTCTGTTGATATTCTTGATCATGTATTTCAAGAAATAAAATCTTCTCCACTTCCAATATTTGGTATCCAGCTTGGTGAATCTACAGACGTTGCAATCTGTTCCCAGTTACTTAGTTAACTTGAGGTATATTAATGATGGCGACTTTAAAGAATGAGTTTATTTTTCGCACACCTCTTGAAATATCAACTACTGCACATCATTTGACGCAGTTGGTTCATTTCTGAAAGATCATAAGATCTCTTGGAAAAAGGTTTGTGGTGTTTACACAGATGGTGCTCCAGCTATGCTATGATGTCTATCATAAGATATCTTTGGGAAAAAATGTTATGGTGTTTGTACAGAAGGTGCTACAGCTATGCTAGGGTGTCGCTCTGGATTTCATCGTTTGATACTGAATGAGTTACCAAAAGTCATCGGAACACACTGATTGATTCATCGGCAAATATTAGCAACGAAGACGCTGCCACAAGAGTTACAAGAAGTAATGAAAAGCGTCATAAGATCTGTCAATTGTGTAAAGGCGAGCACTTTTAACAGTCGACTGTTTTCGCAACTGTGCAACGCGTTGGATGCGCCGAACAACGCTCTGCTGTTTCGCACTGAAGTAAGTTGGTTGTCGAGAGGAAAAATTTTAAAACGTGTTTTTGAGCTTCATGGTGAACTCAAAACTTTTTTAAATCAGAAAGCAAGACCGCAGTTCAAAGCTATTTTAATGATAAAAGTGAACTGCAGAAAATAGCTTACTTGGTTGACATCTTTGACAATCTTGAATGAGTTAAATTTATCACTGTAAGGACCAAATGAAACATGCTCCAATTTGTCTTAAAAGATTCGATAGTTTAAATTTTAATTTCAGCTTTGGCAAAATAAAAATTGGATGAAAATATAATTTACATGTTGCCTCTCTTATCTGGTTTCTTTGAGGAACATGACATTGAACCAGACAAAAGGGTTACGATGATAAATTCTGTGAACACTTTCATATGCTTGCAGCCGATATTTCTTCGTACTTTCCAAATCTGACACCCCATTTGCACTTGCCAGAATTCCATTCACAGTCAAAGTTGAAGAGGAGTACATTGAACTTTTTAACAGCGATGCAGTGAGAACTGATTTCTCTACAATGTCAGTTACAAAATTCTGGATCAAGTTTGTGCAGTCATATCCTGTTCTGACTGAGACTGTGTTGCGCCCTCTTCACCCATTTCATGCAACATATCTTTGTGAAACAGCGTTTTGCAGCTTGCTGGTATTCAAATCTAAAAAAAAAATCGACTTGTTGTGGAAGATCATCTTCGTTGTGCCCTTGCAAAGACTGCCCCGAGCATTTCTGAACTGGTAAGAAAGAAACAATCTCGATCTTCGCACTTACGTTGGCTTTTTACGCATACTGTCGCAAGATGTAGCAAAGTAGTTTACTGTTGTTATATTAAGACTGTTACCCATGCTACACCATGTTTCAAGACAAATTTGCATTTATTTATAATTAGAAATTAATATTTTAAACAATATTATTACTTAGTGTTTTTTTGTGATTAATCACCATGCTTCAATTATGTTCAATTCGTAACAATGAAGATACATCCTGCATATCCGAGATTTACATTACGATTAATAACAGAAGCAAAATTACAGTTATGAAGTAGCAACGAACATAATTTTATGGCGTGGGGTCGCCGCCACAACAGGAAGAACTGTATAAAAGGGTCGCGGCATTAAAAAGGTTGCGAACCACTGGGATAGGATCTAGGTTGCAATTAATGATCACGCTAATGAAATCCTAAGTATGTTCGTGTACTGCGTTCACCCTCAAGTGATAGAATCTGAAAACACAGATTCTATTCTACAATTGCTATTTATTGATGTCGGGTGATGGTTTAAATTGGGTGGTTGACAAGTTGTATGATGTCCCAAACAATGACAATCAGTCTAATTGTACGGGTTCGACCTTCTACCCAGAAAGTTTATAGGGGAAGGGGGGGGGGGGGGGTGGATAGAAAAAATAACGATTTTGCGAAGCTGTCGGGATACAATAACAAGGGAAATTACTCGGTCTATCCAACTGCAAGGGCAAAATTGGGGGGGGGAAAAAAGGGAGAGGGAGTATTTTACAAGGGCAAGTTTGCAGGTGGAGAAATTTTATAATGTCCAGCCCCAAAACATCATAGTAATGTATGTTTAAATGTTTCTTTTTTTAGTTTAGCTGCCTGTGGCAAAGAAGTGGATTATTCCGAAAGGTACGCGGATGCCCGTTCTGTATCTTGGTTTCAATCTTCAAATTCTAAAGGTAGAACACATTCTATAAATTTGTTTCATTTGTTTTAATTAATATTATTAATGGTGTTAAAATATTGTGGGTTTTTTTGTTTGTTTTTTTGGCAAACCCATTATTGGTTTTATAAAACTGGCTTTGAAACCAGTTACGAATTACAACAATCAAGGTTAGAAGCAAGCATGAACGCAGAGGGACAGCGTTTATGTACTTTTGTTTTTGCTTATTAATAAATACATTTTCGAGGCGGTGGGAAGGTGGCCCTTAGGTGAGTTCCCAATCCATTTCAACAAGGACTTGACACTGTTTGCAATGCATTCCAAAAGGAAGGCTTATAGTTATGATGCTAGTTTTATAATTTGAAGCTAGATTATTAGAACTTTAAAAATTTTGATAAGCCAGCTTCATAGGTAAAGAATGCTAAATTTTGTGACGCATATTATCTATTGAAGCGTAACTGATAAACACCGTGACAAGCCTATAACGAACGATACGTGATACTAGTGGGTAGTTATATATATATATATATATATATATATATATATATATATATATATATATATATATATATATATATATATATATATATTTGTTTTTACTTTGTGAAAATTAAAGTGGGTGTGTATTTTTATGACATTAACAATTTTTTTAAAGACACTCAAATCTGTTATAGACGTATGTTACGCACTGCTGTCTATAGGGAGAAATTAATATTCTATTTACATGTATGGCTCGTTCCAGAACAGTTCATAACAAGACGACACCAATTGATAAAAACTAGAACAGAGAATACGACCCCCAAAACAGGGCTAATTACGATTAATAAGATTTATTTAGTTATCAATATAACTACAAAAGAAAAGAAATATAATTAAAATCATCAACTTACAGAGTATTGTTTTTCTTGTACTGGTACACTGTTAACACAATGTGCTGAAAAATAAACTACAATGATGAATACGAACTCACACATATAAGTAAACACAGACTAACACACTATTGTCTCGTAAAGTAAAAATATCTCGTGATCTCTCTATGCTCTCTGAATCCCCTTATATAATATCTCTAGTCGTTCTACCGGCGCATCTGGAAAAGCCTTACGCATTGTTTTCCTTTCCAGTTCACTCCCGACCTTTACACAAAATTAATGTTTAGTTGGTAGTAAACAAAGCCAAGATCAAAGGGAAGACTGTTCTTGGTAAGCCACACCCTATTAGTATTGCAGCGTCCGCTAGAGCACATGGCGTAAAGACGTCGACTGCGTAGCATGTGAAAAATGGTTGCGAGATTCTTCTTTAGATAAAAGAATTTTTGTTTTACGATTTTCTGATAATATATATTTTAAAATACAATGCAAAAGTTTGTATCTTTTATAAGGATATTAATGTATCGAAATCCTTTAATATAAAATATATTTATATCATATATAGAGTTTTTGTGGTAAATTTAAGACTATGTTTTCACAATTTAAAGAGAAAAAAAGTTGTAGTTCAAGGGCAGGAAAATGGGTAAATCTGAAATATTTCTCTAGCGTTGAAATCCTCCAGCAATTAACTTCCTTAGTGACAAAAGTAATAATATTATTGATACTTTAGACTGGGTAATTAAAGGTGATGTTTAGAGGGGAACATGTACTTTAGCGGCATGAAAGTGATTAGGGTATGCGAATAATATATAGCAGAAAAATACTTCTCAAAACTTAATAATGTTAAAAACGTAAATATCATTACATTGGTACTTCTTTTTTTAATTTAGAAATTGTGATCATTTTTTGAAATAACAGGTAAAAATTATTTCAAAGGACCTATCACTATTATCCCGATAAAATCGGGTCGGCTTTATAGGAGGTATTTTTTAAAGCAATAAACAATGCTAAAAGCCTAAAAATTTACTTATGAAAATCTGTTTTAGCTTCTTGAAAAATATTATTTCAAAGAGAAAAAAATGTATTATGATTTATATTTACAGTGTGTAGGAAATTAGAATGCCCTGCAGTACCAGATAAAGAAAATCCACTTTCTTTCATGGGACTCTACAAAGCGTCTTCAGATTTTCCACCGGAAGTTTCCGCAGATGAAAATATCAATAGCGGAGACAGCGAGATCACGACTAGAATTTCCCGAAACAACACTCCCACTCAAGTCGACTCAAAACTCACGACGGTGAAATCTGGAAGCTGTATCCCCGTCGTGTCCATCTCATTGCTGACAACCATCGTCCTGGTCTCGGTTGGTGGGTCATTAAAATAGTTGAACTCATTAGTGGCTGGATCTGAAATTGAATTATCTGTGGAAGTTGTTACAAGTTTATAAAAATCTCTTAATACAAATCTTCATCAATTCGTTACAAGCATTGCTGTAATATCTGCAGTCTAAAAATTAAATTTTGTATTATCATATTTAGAACATGTTACAACATAACAAAAAAAGCATTAAACAAAAGTCACTTACAGTTCATCTTGTTTAATAAGCAAATTAAAACATATTGATTGCAACACAATCAAAACATGTCAATTTCAAAACATTTAAGATTACCCTTTTTTAAAAAAAATAAATCGTATTGTTACAACACATGTAATATTGTGTCAATAAAATTTTAAGAATATACTTGACTAATAAAATCTTTATTTTAAAATTCTAAAAATATGTTTTTTGGTTTTTGGTTTTAACTGTGTTTTAAACTGTCCTTGTAATTTTTCTATAAATAATTATGAACCTATAATGCATAGGTTATATTCTCTGAGATGTCATATGCTGTGGAAAAGAAGACTTTTCACTGAACACGCGTGATTCTGTTTTGAATTATTATGTCTACACGTGCACAAATATATCTTTGTTGAATATGTTTGCAATTACCCAATGATATCTGTATTTTGAATATGTCTACATTCACATAATATAACTTAGTTTGAATAGATCTGCATCTTCATGAACACATTCGCACATAACCATTAAGTATGTTTGAGTATTTTGCAAGGACACACATATATTTGTTTTTAATGTATCAATATTCAGTCTCTCATTCAGACCTTGTTAAACTGGAACTACAAATTTAGTACACTATAGTCTCAGAATAGTACTTTAACATCTTAAAATCGTACATTACCGTATTGTAATAGCTCAAGAAATATTATTATTTTAATTCAAAACACAGGGATGCACTTTAGCTTATACCTGAATATAGTTTTGAATCATTCTAGACTTAAATTTAATGTTTATAAAAATTAGGTTCCCCTTACCTAGCCTTTTTTTACATAAATCCTTTTCATCATCATCATCATCATCATCGCCCGTTGTCCCGTTTGTGGCATAGGCCACAAAAAAAGGCACTCTAGCCATCACGGTCTTGGGCAAGTCTCTCCAACTGACCCCAGTTCTGCCCACTCTTTTTGCTGTCTGCCTCCAGTTCCTTTCTCCAAATCGTTTTGGGTCGACCTCTTTTCCTCTTGCCCTGAGGGTTCCAAGTGAGGGCTTGTCTCGTGATACTTGATGCGGGCTTTCTGAGGGTGTGGCCAATCCATCTCCATCTGCGCTGGCAGATTAACTCTGCCACTGGTTCTTGTTGTGTGTGCCATCAGAGATCCTCTTTGGTGATGACGTTGGGCCAGCGGGTTCGTAAAATCATTCGGAGACGTCTGTAGCTTTTTTGAACCAGCTGCTGTTGTTCGCCATGTTTCTGCTCCATATAGAAAGACAGGTTTCACTGTGGTGTTGAATACCTTGACCTTGGTCTGGAGGGTCAAGTTGCTGCATCTCCAGACTTTTTTTAGCTTGTTAAATGCCGATCTTGCCTTACCAACTCTCATTCTTATGTGGGCGTCTGTACCTCCTTGTATGTCAATGATGCTGCCGAGGTATGTAAAGCTATCCACCTCCTCAAGGTTTGTTCCTTCCAGTGGTATAGGTGTGTTGCTTGATGTATTTATTTTAAGGACTTTGCTTTTTCCTCTATGGATGTTCAGGCCGATGCAAGCAGAGTAGTGTGCTACATAATTGGTTTTCACTTGCATCTGTTGCTGTGTGTTTGATATTAGGGCCAGATCATCCGCAAAATCCAGGTCATCATGCTGTTTCCATAGTGTCCATTGAATACCATTTCTGTTCTGCTCTGTAGACATTTTCATTACCCAATCAAGGATCAGCAGGAATAAGAAAGGCGAAAGCAGACACCCCCCTTTCCAACACCGGTCTGTACCCCAAAAGCCGCAGTTGTTTGTTGGCCGTGAACAATTCTGCACGATAGTCCTTCGTAAGAAGACTTAATTATGTCTGTCAATTTTTGTGGTACCCCGTAGTGTCTAAGCAGCTTCCACAGGGTCTGTCTGTCGACACTATCAAAAGCCTTCTCATAGTCAATGAAGTTGACGTATAGTGGCGAGTTCCACTTCAGAGATTGTTCCACAATAATTCTCAGTGTGGCAATCTGTTCTGTGCAGGATCTGTCTTTTCTGAACCCTACTTGTTGGTCCCTAAGATTGGTATCTATTCCTCCCTCATTCTGTTTAGCATCATTCTGTTGAATACTTAGCTGGGATGGAAAGCAGGGTTATTCCTCTATAGTTAGAACAAGAAAAATAGTCTCTTTCTTCGGGAGCTTAATGAGGTGTCCTTCTTTCCATTCAATCGGTATCTGTTCTTCCTCCTATATTTTCTTGAATAGTGTGTGTAGCATTTCAGTGTTAGTCGTAATATCTGCTGTCAAGGCTTCTGTCGGTATTATGTATGGACCTGTGTCCTTGCCTTTCTTTAGTTGTTTAATTGCTCTGCATATTTCTTGCTTTGTGAGTGTGCTGCAATCTATTTCTAGATAGTCGTAATATCTGCTGTCAAGGCTTCTGTCGGTATTATGTATGGACCTGTGTCCTTGCCTTTCTTTAGTTGTTTAATTGCTCTGCATATTTCTTGCTTTGTGAGTGTGCTGCAATCTATTTCTAGATCTTGTTCCGCTGGATCAATGTTGAGTGTGTAATTGTGGTGCTGGTCGGTTGAGGAGTTCTTCAAAATATTCTATCCATCTTTTTTTCTGATCCTCTTCATCGGTATTGATTTCCCATCTTTAGTTTAACTGTTCTCACTGGATTGTTGAATTTTCCAGATAACTTTTGATTGTACTGAATAATTGTCTTGTGTTTCCATGGTACGCAGCCTCTTCTGCTTCACTTGCTAATCCTTCTATGTAGTTCTTTTTATCTGTCTTTACAGCTTCTTTATTTGTTTCTGAGTATTCTGTTGATGCTCTGGCCTTTTCGGTTCTGGTGCGGCTATTGTTTAGATTTGGCTTCTTCTTTCTCCTATTTTTAATTTTCTCCATGGTTTCAGCAGAAATCCATTCTTTATGCGTTTGTTGCCTAGGGCCCAACACTTCTTCACAGGTGGTTGTGAATATCTCTTTGATTTCTTTCCAGTTTTTGTCAATTGTTTCCTCATTGCCTAGTTCCTGTAGGATCTGGAACTTGTTTGAGATCGTAAGTTTAAAATAGGGCCCAACACTTCTTCACAGGTGGTTGTGAATATCTCTTTGATTTCTTTCCAGTTTTTGTCAATTGTTTCCTCATTGCCTAGTTCCTGTAGGATCTGGAACTTGTTTGAGATCGTAAGTTTAAATCCCTTTAGCTTGGACTCGCTTTTCAAGAGGTTGGTGTTAAAATGTTGGCGCTTGCTTCCCTCGCTTGTCCATTTCTTTTTCAGTTTAAGCCTTAATTTGGCAATCAGTCGGAGGCTACATCTGCCCCACTTTTACCCTAAAATCTTGGAGCGATCATCTAAACTTATTGCAGATACAGAAATGGTCAATTTGGTTAACCGTTGACATATCTGGAGAAATCCATGTCGCCTTGTGGATATTTCTATGCATGAAGAGGCTTCCTCCGATGACCAGTTCATCTGTAGCACATAAATCTGCTAGTCTTTCACCATTTTCATTCATCTCTCTCATACCATGTGTTCCCATGCATTATTCATAGCCATTATTGTTGCTGCCTATTTTCGCATTTAGGTCGCCCATGAGTATAACCATATTGCTCTCAGGACACCTTTGGACAAGGGTTCGCATTCTGTTGTAGAAATCTTCTTTGTTCTCTTCTTTACTATCGTTGGTAGGAGCGTATACCTGTAGGATGTCCATATTGACTTTTCGTTTTTCGGTCTTAAATCTTGCAGTGATTATACGGAGACCATGCGCTTCCCACCCTATAAGTGCGTTCTGGGCAGTTCTGGAAAGCTTGAGTGCCACTCTTTGGTTGTGCGCCGCATTTTCATCTTCGTGGCCTGAGTATAGCAGCAGTTCCCCTGTGCTGAGCTTTATCTGACCTGAGCCTGTCCGTCGAGACTCACTTATTCCTAAGATGGCTAGTTTGTTTCTCTGAATTTCAGCAGCAACTTTAACAGTTTTTCCAGTTTCGAAAATGGTCCTTACGTTCCATGATCCTAGACTGGTGGTGGTCCTAGTGCAGAGGATGGTTCTCCGCCCGTTGGTTTCCAGTTGGCTTTGGCCACCCAGCTTCATTAATTCTCTGTTAGGAGACCCATCCTTTCCAAGGTCCCAGTTTCCTTTTGAAATCTTTGTTCGTGTTTTTGTAGCAAGGCTTTTTTTTTTTACAGGGAAGGGTTGCTAGCCCTTCGCCCAACCCTCCTCCTTTCTTACACAGGCGGAGTTCATTTTAGTAGTTATTAAATAGTAATTTTTAAAATAATTTATTACTTATTTCAATGTACTTGCAAACAATAAAAAATGGGGCGGTTACACCGAAATGGCGCGTACCGTCCACAGAAACGATGTACATATAATTAGCTAATATATCCGACGTTTCCCGGGATTTCATTCGAAAAAAACAAACTTCTAAGACCAGTTAACATTGAAATTAAGAGCCATGTAAAAAAAAAATCTCCATAGTTTTAAAAGAATTAAATAATTTGTTTGTCTCTAATAAAAACATATATATCACACATTTTACAAAACCGCCGTTCCCTGATGGGATACCGAGCCCGGTGGGGTTCAGTTTCTGTTTGTAATCCCGTTTTCCGATGACATCATGTTTCCCGGAGGGAACCCGATCCCGGCTGGATCCCGATTCCTTTGGGATGATGATCCGTGTGGGATCCCGATCTCCGAGGGTTTTCGATCCTCGCCTGAAATCCTTTATGCAGTTTGATCCCGATCCCTTTGGATGCCAATCCCAGTGGGTTCCGGTTTCCTGGTAGGATTCCAATCCCAATGGGATCGCGATCCCGGTGATATCCCGTTCTACGATGAAATCCCGATTGGATCCCGTTTCCTTGTGGAATCCCGATCCCTATAGGATCCCGATCCCTTTAGATCACAATCCTGGTAGGATCCAGTTTACCGATGGCATCCCGGTTGGATGTCGATAACGGTGGGAACTCGATACCGGTGGGATCCAGAAAATTGTACATCTTTTTGCACTACTCTAACTGTTTTACATCTAAGTTCAAAGACGGGGCCCGTTCCATAAATGTAGCCTACCGATTAAGCCTTGCCTGAGTTAGGGGGGGGGGGACTATAAGATAAATTATTAAGTTAAAATGTAAAGTTGTCTCATTAAAATAAGTTTATAATTTCCATGGATATAACATTTTAAAATTATCGAAATTTCTGGAAATTTCTAGTTTGGATATTCTTAGTGTCAAATCCACCGATATTTCAATTCGGTAAATGAAGGGTATTGATACGAAGCGAGGCCTATATCCGCCATTCACATAGAACCTATAATGCCATTAGAGCCTACTAATATTTATATAACTTAAATTTGGAAAAATGAAATGGGGCCCGGGCCTCAAAGGAGTAGATATATTATGAGTTATGTGCCCGTCAGTATTTGAATATAGATAATCACGTGTATGTGTCCTAATTTCGGTCAAGGAAAAAAAAAGAATTTAGTGCCCCAATCCCAAAAAATAGGATGTTGTAGAAAGTTCATAGCACCCCCCCCCCTCACCAAAGAGTTCCTTCCGGATAAAGATGGATATATGTGCCCAGTTTAGTCAAGATCCACCAATCCACGTAAAACCGATGCGGAAAGCCAAAAACACATGTACCCGGCTTTGCCAGGGATGGCATTTGGAAAAACAACGTCTACAGTCTTTTCCTTAACATTGAATTGAAATGACATGGCGTATCAAACAATCAAATCCTTGGTCTCCTAGAAAAACACATTTACATTAACTTTTGTCAAATGGTCGTTCCCAAAGGGGATCCCAATTCCGGATGGATCCCAGTCGAATCCCATTTCCGGATGAGATCCAGTTTTTCTATGGTATCCTGATATCCGGAGGGATCCGTTTTGATCCAATTTAGATCCAAATCCCGGTGGTGGGATCCCAAAACGGGTGGGTTCCAGATCCGGTCAGTATTCCAATCCCTGTGTTTGTCTCGATCGCTTCGGATCCTGGTAGGATTATGATCCTGTGGGATCCAGCTCCTTGTGGGTTTCCGATCCCGTCTTCCGGTAAGATCCCGATTGTATCATATACCAGTGTGATCCCATCTACCGGTAGGATCCCGATATGGTAGGAATCCAAGACACCGGTGGGATCCCATGACCGTTGTGATCCCAATGCCTGTTATATCAAATCCCAGTGTTATCCCGATATCGGTGGGTTCCCAATCCCATCAGTTTTCCTATCCGGTGGGTTCCCAATGCCGGTGGTTTCCTGATCCCATTGGTATCCTGATCCGGGTGGGTTCTTGTTCCCGGTGGGATTCAATTTTTATGTGGGCTCCCGTTTTTTGGTGGTGTCCTGACCCCTCACAGAAGGAATACAAATAACTCTAAGAGTTCCTTCCGGATAATGATGGAAATATGTGCCAAGTTTGGTCAAGATCCATCAATCCATTTAGAAATGAATGCAGAGCAAAGCCACAAAGAAACCCACTAATGTCCACTTTTATATTATATATTATGGTAATTGGAAATAGTCAAATTTTACTATTGGCTATTTGTATGAAATAATGGTAATTTCAAATAATTTTCTTTTAATTGTACAATTCCTTACTAATGAAATAGTGGTCACAATCTAATGTATTACATATTTGGATTAAGATATAAATTTTTATGAACTATTAGTAATAGTCTGTTTAAATATTTAATATTTTAAATAATTGTAAGAAATTTGGCAATAGTCACTTGTATGAAATATTGGTTACCTGTATGACATATGGATAATTATTACATTTTTGATAATATGAGATATTGCCAATAGTTGATTTAATTAAATATTGTATAATTTATTTGAATGAAATATTGGTAATAGCCACTGGTAACTAATAACATAGAAATTAAAATAAAATTAAAACACAAAAAGTAAATAAAACTAACAAATTTGTTTCATGTTCCAATTCTTGAATGGAATTTATTTGATATTTATACATTTGTACATAGAAAGAAAAATCAAGATCAACAAAAAATAGTTCTAACAACTGAAACTTAAAGTCCTGTTAATATTGTGTTTTTACAATTCATTTCATTAACTTTAACACATTTAATGAACACATTTCCTCTCCCCTAGAACTAGAACAGTCAGTCAATAAACATATCTATGTGCTGCTGCCATTAGCCAGCACATTGTAAAATTAATAATTTGACAAGAGAAAAATGTATAAACTTCAGATAGATGAGTAAAAATACATAAATGGAACAAATGACTGACAACAAACTGTTGGCAAACAAATTTGATACTAAATTCATGGTCTTAATAATCCAAAAATTATCAATTACAAACTAGTATTGAATGGATCAAATAAATTGATAACTTCATACATAAGATCTTGATAGATCAAAAAACTTTTTACAAAAGGCATTTAATCAATCCAACAATTTGTTGAAATAAGATTAGATAAAATAAAGTGTCTTGAAAAAATCCAACAAATTATTAACAACAAAGTACAAGAAAGGTTTTAAGCAGATGCAAAAAAATATTAACAAGTAAAAGGTCTTGTATCAATCCAAGAAACTATTGACTACATTATAGAGTCTTGAATTTTCTTTGAAAAATATACATGATTGCCCTAAAATGTGCTGGAAAATATAAATTTATTTGCAAATTTTCTTCAAAAACATTTTTCCAAAAGGACTAAAAGTTCTAAAAAGAATAAATACCTTGCAAAATGTGGTCCATGTATAAATCAAACACTTAACTTTTATTTGAAAAAAGCCCTGTAGTATAATGCAATATCTTAACATTGTTCAATAAAATTAATAATACAATACCAATTAAGAAAAGAAATATTTTAAATGCAAAACAGTTTAAATCAGAGGTGGACACCCAAATGTCTTTGAGGGCAACTTTGAAAGTGAGTAAACAATTCCCTGGCAGCATGTCATTGTGAGCCTGACATTCACTGGTCACATGGCTTCATTGCCTACTTGGACACATTATGCTTGTTATTTCGTGTCTTCCAGGCCTTCAAAAATACTTGAACACATTCTTTAAAATAATTGCTTACATTGAAATAAATCTAAGTGATGGTGACTTTGCCCTTGAAGCCTCTTCCAGAAACAGAATCATCTGAAACAAACACTACCAACAGGAAAATGTTCCTTGATGTGATGGTTGGAGCCATTCCTCCACAAAACTTTCCCAGTGAGGTTGCCTCAGGACCATCTAAGAATTCAACTGAATCATAGCCACAGTCCCATCGCTCTTCGATCTCAAAGTCAGAGAAACTGAAATACATTTAAAATTGATGTCGCGAAAATTAACAAAAAAAAATATTTTAACTAATGAACGTCCATATAAGACCTACTTGTTAACTAAGATACTATTTTTAAAACTAACTGTGGTCATACCCATACAACTATGCTAATATCCCATCAAGGGATGCTGCACCCATTACTTTCTAGAGCATAGATAATGCTCACCATTAATCACAAAGCTGATTAATCTTAGTGTAATATAGTTGCAGACAGTTACAAATTAAGAGAAGAATATCTTTATTTAAGAACCAACAAAAAAATGACATCATAAATTATATAACAAGTACATAAAGAGGAACCCTAAGTTATGAGCAATGTTTTATAAAAATACCTGACGGTGATTTCCCTGTTATTGCCTTTTGAAATATTCCAAAAACAATTTACATTTTCTGAGTAGAATTCTGGGAACAGTGGTGTAGCGATAGGTCCTGATGCTGTCATTATTGTGTTGCAGCCTGATTTTTAAAAACAAAAGAAGTCAAGGTTGTCATTAAAACAATTTGAGTAATTATTAACAGATAAAAATTCTATGAAGAAAATCTGGAACAAAAAGAGTTTGCCAGGATCTTAATAGATAGCAGAAAATTACTTTTGTGGAAACTTTTGATTTTATCCTATTAGAGTTAACCCAAGACTATCAAGATTATTGCCAAGGAAGTCAGAGGCTATCTTAAAGAACTATGAAAGTGAAAATTAACACAATACATCAAAAACCATTTTTATTTATCAGGGGTGGCAGACTGAAAAAATTGCTTTATTTTTGTTTAACAAAGCATGCCTAAGTTGAGGATTTAAAACTAAAAACCATTGATATATCGATTAATCATTTTTTAAAATTAAAAAACCTTGCGTCTCATTGATAGAATTTAGCAAACTAATAGAATTTAGCAAACTAAATTAAATCGGTCAACATTTCATCTAATTTTATTCCAGTAAAATTATGTTGACAGACTTACCATTTATCTCAATACACCTGGATGCATTAGATGTTTCAAGTATCATCCAGTCAGGACATGTACACAGCTCTACTCTAGGGTTGAAGGACATGACTTCACAGTTGTGAGAGCATTTCTCAACAATACATGCATCTGGAAATTAAAAGTTCCGTTATTAATCAGGTATTTTTAAAGAGGGTGGTACCAATGGAGATATTAAAACTTTATAAAAGGAACCGAGGGAAGAATTTGAAACTTTGAATAAGTTATGAAAATGTGTTGAAATAATTATAAAAGTATAAAAGTAAGGTTGAAAAAATTAAATATTAATGTAAACTCTATTCTTCAATTCAGGTGTGAAACATTGAAGAAAACTTGAAACCAATAGATTACAGGTTTTTTTTATGAACATTTACTTGTGCAACATCCCAAAAAACGGTTTGAAAAGATCCCAAATGTTATAAGATAAATATCAGCAATCCATTCTGGGGAATAATATTGTAAACGAAATAAAGATGGATTGGTCAGAGCTAGTTGATAACATATCTTTTAATTATAAATTATATTGATCAGTGTAGAATCTGATGCTAACACAAAGTTATTGAATTGAATTTTGCAGTACTGGGTCATACAAAAATGTGGCAGGGTTGTGAGACAGAGTGTAAAATATTTTTTGCTTGTGTTAAAATAAAGGGGAAAGTTGAACCTGGAGTGAGGTCAATCTTGAAGCACACAAGGTTACAGTGCAGGTGGTGGGAAGAGGGCAAGGTCAACTATTTATTATTGGTACATGAATCAGTCCAAGCTTAAAAGGACAGTTTGGGTGGTAAGGGGTGGTGTATTTTATCCTTTGAATTCACTAGTCCATTAACGACACAAGATGGAGAGATTTTGTCACGTCTAGAAAGACAGATGGAAGGCAGGAGGTGGTCCAGATTTGGTGGACCCGTCATTTTGTTGACTGCTCAGACTAAATATGACTTGATGTATCTACTTTATGTTGTGTTGTTTGCTGACTGAGGGCCACAAAATAAAGCATCATGCTAATTCAATGGCAGTCATCTCCCTTATAACAAGCTGAAACATATTGGTACTGGTCTACAACTAAGATCTGGGCCGACTGGAACAAAAATTGGAATTAACAATGGAGTGGGAACATATTAGTAATGACAATTTAAACAAACAAAAGTTACTCCCCTTGCTGAAATTTGACTAACCTTTAATAGAGTAAAAGCCTCTGAACCCTCTTTTGGTTATGGAAAAATCAGACGTGAATACTAAATGAAATGAACCTCCTGTAGTTGTGAGAACACCTGGACCGGAAGTACAGAATGGTCCAAAGACATGGTCCTGTGTACTGTTTCCTTCATAGATCTTCAAATAATCATTTGGACAGCCCTCAACTTCATATTCTGTTATACTGTTGTAGGAAATAAAGGTAGCATAACTCATTGAACCTTTTATTTTAGGTAATATTCAATTAATAACTACATACTGTTTTCTTATTATTAGGTGTACAAAACAATTTCTAGAGTTGCATGCATTATAACAGAAAAAGAATTTTATTTTTAATTTTTGTATTATAATTCATTGCCTAAGTGTGACATTATTATTTATAAAAATTAGTTCATACCTGAGTGTGATTGTAGTATCTGAACCCGGGCTGACAATTGTCCATGTACAAAATGTGTCATTGTCATAATCCAGTGGGTAGTTTGAGGTCATTATCCATCCATTGGAATTAGATAGAGTCCTGTTGCAGTCTAAAATAAGGAAAATATATGTTGAAATGAATTTGCAACTTCTCTTTAATAGTTATATATAATTAGGATAATATTTTAAATAAGAAATAGGTTATTCTGCACAAATAATACAAAAATACTTTTTTTTATATAGGCCTATTTTCTTCACACACTTTCTTTACATAATGCATTTTAAGAAATTTGAAGCTAATTTCTACTTTTTAGTGCATTTTAATTCATCTTTAACAGAAAGTCTTTTATTTAAGTTTTTTTTAAAATCTTTTTTATTTCCTATGTTTAGTATTGAAATTGTGATCTTTAAATTATAGACAAAAGTAGAATTATTGACCTTTTTAAATAATGAATGCTTACAAAATCCAGGTTGAAGTAACTTAACTCTTTACCTAAGCATAAAACTACAAAGTTGATCTGAGCTTACCCACCCATTCACTCAGCCAAGAAGACGCTGTGAACCATATATTTTGAGCCAAATTGTCAACCCACCTCCACGTCATCCACCAAACACAGTATGTTAAGTCTTAAAATGTCATGTGTGTAAAAAAAGAATAACTAACACTCTCTATGAAAAAGGATAATTCTCTAACCTTTACAAGTGCCTAGAGGTCCAGGTTTAAGGCCATTCCAACAAACAGTCGTAGCCAACTTTTCTCTCTTGACATTGCAAGTGAGCTGGACAGCTGTGATTGAGACAGTTATCAATCTTTGTAGAGCAATCACTGCCTGTCCATCCTTCTTTACAAATACATTGACGCGTTGTCTCCAACCAGGAATGAGTGTTTGTTAAGAAGCAGTGACATGCTGAACAGTTTTTTCCAGCAATAGCTAAATTGAATAATACAAGGTATATTAAGTGGCTTTTATTAAAAACATTATGTATTCATAGCAGTGGGGAAATAGGTGGTCTGCACTGGAAGTTACCGTTTATATTTATATTGAAGGATGGCATTTTGGCCAAAAAAATTCTGCAAGAGGGTGGATGGGCTAAAATCTTGACTATCCCATGGGCTGCACTAATTATTTTTAGGTATCAGGTTCAAACATGAAAATTGGGAACTCACTAATATTTTTTAATATTTTAAATAACTGGTTTTAACTATTTTTTCTCATTTCCTGGGGTTTTGCTTATTCTTGGAAAGTCACCATCCTGGCTATTCTATGGATAATATTAAATCAATTAAAATTATAATATAAACTGAATTTAACTATATAAAAGCTGCTTTACTTAAATGTTTGTCTATTAAAGAATGAAAAAAAAAATTAGGTTAGTTGAGACATTTCTTAGCCCTAGTCATAGATATCTAGCTAATAATATGCATGTTAAGCAAAATTCTGGTATGACCGGCTGTAGAGAAAAGAAAATTACACCTTGGTTTTTGCATTTCTACCAATTCTAGTTTCAAATCCATCACAAAATATTTAGAAGCAAATGTTTTATTTATACATACATGTTTGTATATATGTACATGTCTTACTAGGGTTAATATAGAAGTATTTTGACAGGTTTCTAGAGCACAGGTTCCCAGAAGATGGGGCATAACCTCAAATGGGGTTACAAAGCAATTATTTTTGGGTAAATGTCTGAAACAAAAGACTAGATTAGAAGAAATAGTGATTTTCAAAATGTTTTCTTTCTTTAATCATGAGGAATTAAATTTCACCTTGGCCAATCTGATTAGTAATAACATGAAATTAATCTATATATATAATTTGCCAGAAACTAGGGCAAACAAGACGATCACGCAGGTTATATATTATGGATACATCACAGCAAGCTCACGCCGTCCGCTAAGCCGCGGGTGGGCTATATTTGTATAGTTCACGAGACATGTGCACTGCGGTGGAGCTACCGCCCCCCCTGCACCACCCCTGCTTGCCAGCCAAGCTTGCGACGTCTGCTAAGCTGCGGGTCGACGTGAAATAAAAAGTGTGCCGTGACGTATCATGAAGAGGGGTGGGGTGGGTGGTAGCAAAATTGAGTTCACGTTTTTGTCAAGTAACTTTAGTAGATGGGAAGTTCAAGCATTGCTGTCGCCAATATTTGGCGGGCTCCATATAGTTAAAAATTAAAATGTTTTTTAAATTGCTATAATGAGGATCGAAGCTACAACCTTCTAACTATTGAAACAATTTTGTTTTTAAGTTATTGTCTTTCTTATGGTACATCAAAACGCATAACATATTTGATAACTTCTTGACTTATAATTTTTTTAATAGTCCATGGTTCCCATTCTTTTTTATTAGCGGAGCCCTTTATAGAATTACTTTAATTAGGTGAGTACCCAATTCCTACTAATGTCTTACAAGTTAATAATGTTTAGGGGTTTCCTGGAGCGGAAGGTGAGGCTTTTGGGTTCTGTGGAGCACCATTTGGGAACCACCGTAATAGACTATTAAAATGGAAAATGTTAACATTGTCTATGATTCTCGCAAACTGTATTCATCCAAGAATATTTAAAGCCCTAACATGCAAGAAAGCCAGGTTGTCCTAGAAAAAAAAAACTGACTTAAATCATATTGATTTAGAGTACCAACCTTCTAAAAAGATAATCTGTTTTAAATCCAATTTTTAAAATGTATTGCCCCCCCCCCCACAATAAAAATTTAAAAAAAACACTACCCCAATTTAAATTTAAGCATTAAGAATAAATATCTAAATTTATATTACAAGAGTGAAATGAGTTGTGTTTGGTATACTTTAGACAAGAATTGATTAATGACAGCAAGTGGGACATACCAATACATGATGAGTTGTCTGAAGCACTGAGCACAAATCCCTTTCCACATTGACAGTAGTATGAACCTTCTGTATTTATGCAAAGCTGATCACATAAGCTGGTATTGTGACATTCATTTATGTCTGCGGGTGAAAAGTGATATTAACGTTATATTTTGTTTATAAAAGATGAGTGCCTTAAATTTATCACATCAAAGACCTCTTTACTAGGAGATTTACATGACATGAGGAAGATGGCAATGCATATGTCGCCACAAATAGCAGAGATAAGTTTTATTTTCATATTAATCCCTCGCAATGACCAAATAACCTTTTATATTATACTGTGTTCAGCAAAGGACAATTTTTTTAGTAGGAAATAAAACCTGAATAAACAAATCTCCAAACAGTGAAATCAGACACTTGCTATTGAGCATACATCCATATGCACAAATGATATAAAAATAGGAATAAAACAAAGTATTTGTTCAAAAAGCATCTAAAAATTAAACGTTCTAAATTGTAAATATTTAATTTACAACAATCGTTCAGATCTATCTGCACCAAGCTTAAATAAGATATCAAAGGTATTCAATAAAAAATTGTAAGAGGTGGATAAATTAAAGACAAAGCAAAACTAATCTACAGAAACCCATAAAGCTGTTTGTAAAAAAAATTAACAAATTTTCATAAATAATTAAAATGTTCCACTTTAGGGGCTATCAACGTTAGATTTTCTTACATGAGTTCAAATTGATTTCAAAACAAAACTTCACAACTAATCACTAAAATATATATCCTTTTCTTAATTTTTTTTAGCAGCAAGCCAACTGAAATTAATTAGGTGACTTAATAGGGCTTTCACAATAATTCAATAAATTAAATATACTTTATTATTTTTCATGATTTGTTAAAATAAAATTCGTTGACAAGAATATGTTACAGAAATTTGGATTTTCTTAATATTTTTATGTAGAAATAATATCTCAATATTTTTATTTATTTCTTTAACAACAAAACTCTTTGTAAAGAAAGAATGAATATCTTGGTTTGTTCCAAAATTTAATTTAAGCAATAAAAATATAAACATGAGGTGTAATTGCTCCTGGCAGTATTGTAACTTTTTTTGCAAAATATTTACTTTGAATTTTTATGATCTTCATCACAATTTCATCATTTTGATTTTTTTTAAAACAGCGTTTTCAAAATAAATGAGTTTGCCACAACATTATGGTTGAGTTTTACTTTCTGTCGAACTAGAGTTGAACAAGTAATTTAAGTAAAGGGGCAGGTGCGAGAGGGGTTTAATGAAGGGGCAGATGGTGGGTTATATACTGAGTGGCAAGGAGTAAAAGTTTAAGGATATTTCATGTAGAAGACTGAAGACTGAGAAGAGTATTTATAAAAATTCAGCTCTATAGCTGTGGTCATTGAGTGTTTTAAAACATAGAAAAGTAACAGTCTCAGGTAAGTTTGCCTTCTGAATATAGCCCTACCAATACTATAAAACGAAATTCAGTCATTATAGCATCCAATTATTAGAGATGCCATAATTATTTTATATTATTATTATTATTATTGATTGAGCAATACAAGTTGTCTCAGTATATTTTTGAAAAAGTTGTGAATGGAATGATATTTTTATTGTATTAATTTTTTACTAGCAAAGACGCCACTTTCATCAGTTAAAATATGATTAAACAGCTAATATTTAGTGTGTCAAATTTTACTTTTTCATTCTTCCCACAACTGTTCCCATTTTGGAAAAAGGTTGCTAGCCTTTGTGTAGGAATGATTATTCAATAATGGTACATATCACAATGTTCTGACATCAAGTAAATTATTATAATGAAAAACACGATCATGGGTCTCCGGATCCAAGCATTTCCCATGGACCGAAATGTTTTTCTTCCACCCTACAAAATTTTGGGAAAATCTATTGGAAAAAAACATTTTACAAATTCTTCATAAACCGTTTATGACACTACATTCTATTACTACAATAAGGATTATAAACTTTAAAAGAACTTTGTTTAATTAATGCTTAATAATTAGGTGTTGTTGAATTTTGTTTAACTGGGTATTGAAATAATGTAACACCCAACTATTACTAAAACAGGCCCTCTAAAACAATCAGGCCCGATATAACAAATTTCAACCAAAAAAAATTTAAATTTATATTCAAATATATATTTCTCTACATTTAAAAAATCCAAAATCTATAGGTTATAGTAGGTTAAAAACATCAGCAGTAGATATTGAAATTAGGCATGATGTCAATCTGATTTCTCACTATTGAAATAATTTTTTAAAATTTGATGTTCACCAATAATTTTACCATATTTACATTAGTAATCAATTATTCTTACCAAGACAATTCATATCTATATCAAAAAAACCCTGGGGACAAGGTCCACAACTGTAGCCCGTGGTCATGTTTCCTTGTTCCTCAGCTGATAGATCTGTACAGTTCTGTCCCTTGGCACAGGGATATGTCTTACAAGCATCCAGCTCAATTTCACAGTATTCTCCTGAAATTTATAATTTTAAACAAGCTAACTATAAATCAAAATGAAATGAACTTTTGACATATTTTGTCCATATTTTACCTTATCAATTCAGTGTCTTATAAAGTGAACAGATCTTGCAATATTTCTATATAATTAAATACTAGTATGTTTTGTGATTTTAAATGAGAAATTAATGTCCAAGCAAAGTGTAAATGAAGTTAAAAAGGCAGAACTAAATTTATTTAAAAAAAAACAGATGATTCAGGGGACAATTAAGGGGAAAGGGAATGATCAAATCTAAAATTAATCACAGGAAAGTCTTTTAAAAAAATTAAATAAGCTGCGCAAATTTAAACTCACCAGTGTAAGCAGGAAGACACAGGCATTTCAATACTGTAATTTGCCCATTTAGATATTCCACTTCACTGACAATATTTTCATTGTACCCACCATGTCCATTGCATATTGGGCAAACTGTGATTGGAATGTTCATTATGGCAGAGAAGGCATTTTTACTATCTTTTGCTTGGATCCTGGTAAGCAAATACAAGTATGCTACTGAATGTTCAATCTCAATAGTACAAGGATCTTCATTTTTAATTAAACTAAATTTTTAATCACAACAAATAAAGGGTGTTCCGTAATTGAATAGACCTACCATTAACTGTCTACCACATAATTAAGCTAAGTTTTGTCTTTGTTTTTTTGCTGTAGACTAAATGGCTGCATTTTTTTAATGTCCCTTTTCTCTACCCTGTGTATATTTCTAAAATATAATCTTACTACTACATGTACACACCCTATTATGACAGGTTCTTGACTATTCGGTGTGTAAAACAGAGTTCCATTTTTACAAAATCTGATGCTATCAGTTTTGTTGTCCAGCAATTCCATTGTTGTAGCATCACCATCTTCATCAGTTGCTTCCAAATTCAACATGTTGATCTGGTTCTCGAGAACAAACCATCTTTTATTGACAATACTGCTATTACTGAGTATCTTTAATTCTGGTAAGCTATTTGCTGTAAATAAAAAAGAGATGAAACATTTGAATTACTCTTGCAGCATTCTGTGGACAAAATACAAAAGGATTCCAATTATAAATAATGCTTTATCCATACATTTCAAAAGCAATGCAGTAAAGGGTTTTACTGGATTAGTAGACTTTTATGAGAATGGATATTGATTTGTATTTTTTGCTTTTTATTTTGTGTGGTAACTGCTAGCATCTGATAAAAACAACAGATGATTAACGATAATTATTTCATAGAAATTTGTTTCCAGCAAAAGACAAATAGAGCATGCTGCAAATGACAAAAGCAACCCGGTGACCACTCACAAGTGAATGATATTGATTTGGCTGCCAAAAATGTCACATAGCCTTCTAGTTGAGAAATTAGCTTTTTGACCATTTTCAGGCTGGAAATGAACTTCACACATAATGATCTTAGTATTTTTTAGTATGTTATTACAAAGATTAAATGATAAAATATGATTTTCTTCCTGTAATTTTAATACTGAAGATAAACAGAATAAATCATTTACCTAAATTTTCTATTTTGAAATTATGCTCTTCTGTTAAAAATTTGGTATTAAGAGCAATAGTTTCATTTCCTGTAGCTATTAGGTCAAAGATGCAGTCCTCACTAGAAAGGCCACACAACTCGGCCGCTTCATTGATTTGTGTTGTTGTAAAGCTACTTCTGAAAGTTGGTATAAACTCAGGGTGCTGATAATCACCACATGATTTCCCAGCATCATAGATGAATATCGAATTTACTTCATTCACTCGATCTGAAAAAAAATATTTGACACTTGGTGCATTTGTTTGATTTAAACACCCCATAAGTAAAACTGTTTGGAAGAGAAACTTAAAATCACATCTGATAACAAAGAAACATTTTGGTTGTTAAGTTTTAAGAATTTCTGCAAAACACTTAACATGAGTTGAAATTAATTTATTAAAAAATATAGATCTATCATCCTATCATAAAATAAAATAAAAATTTTCTGCAAAATATTTTTTAAAAGTAAATTCTGAAATTTTTAAAAAAATATTTAGAAAAGAATTTAAACTCAACCGTTGTCAATTTTTAGTTACCTATTTTCGGAATTCATCAAAATAAAGGCTTGTAAAAATGCAAAAGAAATTGAAAATGTATAAATTTCAAAGATAATGTGTCAAAAAGATATATTTCATAATAATACTAAATTACTTACAAGAGGATGCAAATAGGTTAAAAACCTGTTCTTCAGTTAAATTAGGAGACAAAACTGTTCCATTAGGTAGTTGAAAATCATCATATGGATTTCCATTAAAATTGCCAAGGAGTCCTCTGGTCAAAGTCTTCAGTGACTTGTCAATTTCTACTCCTATTTTCAAATTCTCAACACCTACTTCAATGACAAGAGCTATGCCTACATAAGAAAGTTAAATGGAATAGTTTAACTCCTGCTATAAAAAAACAGTTGACACTGAAAATTATTTAATGCCAATATTTGATGCAGCACTGGAATAATTTCTGAAATTATTTTTTTATTTCATTGAATCAACATTTTTGTGTGTTTTTTTATGTGTCTTTATTTAATTTTTCATAACTGAAGCACATAACAAAAAGTAACAATATAATATAGCATTCTAAAATCTTACCACAAGTGAAAACTGCAACAACTTGTGTCCTGTTTAGTGAACAGTCTCTTCTTACATCAATGTTGTCTGTGATCATTGAGTAGTTTAAGGTGCCGTAAAAATCTCTAGTAACGTCACTTCCATTTGCCATTATCACCATTGCTATAGACAAAGAAATCTTTCAGAAATAGCACTTGACACAAAACCTGTTTTTTTCTAACTGCAATGAAAATAGCTAATAAAATTCTTCTGTCTTCTTATGGGCTCAAGTCATCACTTCTTGAATTGGTCCTTGTGCTCATTGTATACTCTTAAATTGGTCCATTAATTTATTTGTATGCACTGGTAACTATTGCTAGCAGACAAAAGTAACATTCTGTCTTCAATTAAATTAAATATTTAATACTTTATTTGCATGAATCTTTGAGAACACAAGAAGGCATGAAAACAATGTACCTGAGTTTTTACTTACTGGTTTTATCTGGTGATAATTGAACTTGAAAGGTTGGGGCACTGCCTTCCTTGGCAGCAAAAGCTACAAATGCAGTGGCATTAGTGACTATATCATTTTCATTTTCCACTATATCTGTGCGGCTCTAAAAACAGATTATGAATGGTAGAGAGTTTAGATGGCCTTGAATTTTCTTTAAAAAACAACTTTTATTAAATTAATACAGTGGACAGCAACCCACTGCTCTGTAAGGAGTAGATTTGGCTTCTTCCCCCTTGTGTAAAATCATGTGCCGTTCCCAAAATATTTTCTCAGCAAAACTTATAAAATGACTTTCAATTAAGTAAGATTGTTGACCCCAGACTTAAGAAGAATGCTGAATTATGATGCAGGCTACAAAAGGTATATAAAATTTAAAGAATCTGACAATTTGTGATGATGACTAGTGCTGACAGAGGCGATAGAATACACAAGATCCAACTAACTCTGGCAGCAGGGGCGAACAATGGCGTAGACAACATTGTGACAAATACAAAGGAAACCATCCCTTATCTGAAACCTGCCCTTAAAAAGGAAGGTATGCGTTGAGTCTGGATGACAAAAGGACACCCTTTGCAGTGGATGCATCCACATGGCTTGGTCCCAAAAGGGGAGGGGCAACGCGGATCAAACTACGCACAAGGAGATTTGTATCTCTTCTTAAAACAGTGAGGTGAGGAAAAGAAAATGTTATGGGTGTCATGTTAGGTGAGGATAATGGCACGGTTTTTAAAGAAAACATGTTCGGTTATGAGATTAAGGAGTAGCCTACCTCTCAAGCAAAAAGTATTGACTCAAGAAACAAGTGTCACCAACAACTGCCTACAATATGACATGTTAAACAAAAACAATACACAAAACAACTGCATTTGTCAAGAAATCCAAACACCAAAACTTGATATGTTCATTCTAACACACAAGCCTCATTTTTTATGGCATTTTTTTTTAACATTTAAAATAAAGGATGGAATGAATTTTAAAAATATAGATGTTTCTGCAAATCTACTATTTGAGTAAGTACAATACAAATATAAAATTAAATAACATTACATTAGGACCAAGAGACCTTGGTATGCCACACCAAAGAACTCGAAATACTTAGAAATATGAATGAAAAATTCTAGAAAATTGTTAACATTTTGCTATAAATCCAAATGCTGCTCTGGAATTTAAATGCCCAGCACATTGTTAGTGTGTTTTTGTGCATTTGTTTCCCAAGCTCTCGGGGCACCCATAACCTTTATCGTTTTGTTGCCGGAAGCTGTAGTGAAAGCATCTTACGTTATTTTCAATACTACTGTGCCGGTTTTGTGGGGTCTAAGTGTATTTGCCATGGTTCTTATAAAGTGTAGTGAGGCAAATAAGAGTAAGACTACAGCTCTCAGCGCCACAAATGAAGTAAAAGATCTTAATCGCTCAGCTTGAAAGTGTCTGATTTTGCTACTATGTTCAGGATGCTTAACTCGACCGTTTGTACAATTTTGAAAAAATACAGAAACTGTCAAGGCAGTTGATGTGGTAAAAGGGGTTAGGAAAAAAACTTTCAGTATGGATCAATGAAAAACATCTGACTGCTGATTTAATTTCTAAGGGAAGATCAAGATCCTCTGCGATGATTTAGTAAAAGTCATGCCTGACCCTTGTGCTAAAAGGAGGAGTTTAAAGCCAGTAGGAGGTGGTTCGAAAAATTAAGAAAAGGACTGGGATTCTTACAGTTTGTGGGACCCAGGAATGGATTAATCCAGTTTCTGTATATTTAAAGGGGAAAAATTGTCAAAGAACTCTAACGAAGTTCTGAACAGATAACGTTTGGATGCCAAAGTCCCACTGTACATTTATAATATTACATGTAAAAAAAAGTCTTAAAATTGGGAATATTAATGCATCAATTAAAAATTGTTCAAGTAAACTTTTTTAAAATGACTAACGATATATCTTCGCTCATAAGCCGAAGTAATTTATGGAAGTCAAAATAAAGTTAAAAATTGCATGGTTTTATAACTGCATGACAAGGCAGTAATGCAGTTCTCTCTAGTCATTTATTTTCTGAATGTTACCCTACATAGCGGTTAGTAAATATACAAATGGAGTATGCATGTTAAATATCATTGTCTAAGTTTTTGTTTTAAAATCTTTTTACCTACAGTAGCTTTTTAAATTTAAGATTTTTTTTAAAAAAATATATTTTTGTTAGAACCAAATTGCTTTTACTGCCATATTATTTTAAACGCTTGGCTTATGAGCGGGTCGTACACTTCTCAGATTTTTCAGAGCATATCTAAGGTGGTCAGCTTATTAACAAGCTGGTTTAAAATTAGCCGGCTTGTATAAGTGCTTGATAATGACTGTATATATTCTGTTACCTGTAGGTTGAAATTTCTAGATACAACATCCATTAGTATGTACTCTCCCCACCCATTCATGGTGTAGCTTAAGTTGTCAAGAGTTGTAAAATGAGGATCTCCAAGAGCTGCAGCTTTTAATAAAGAAGCAAAATGAAAATTACAAAATATTAAGAAAAAAAGGGTTTTGTCTTATTCATATTTTACATAATGTAGGAAAAAATGTAAAATGTAATGAAGTACATTTTCTTAATTTAAAAGGATACAATGGGAACAATAAGACAAAATTATTAAAGACTATAGTTGAAAAAGTCTTCAAATGACTGGTCTATGTGTGCATTGTTAGAGTAGGCAAGGATTGTTGGCAGTCATAAGTGTGTGGATATTTTGATTGGACAATGCACTGGTCCAAAAAAACAAATCAAAATTGCATAAAGGATCCTAAACATTAAACACACAAAGCCCGTGCAGGTGACAATAAACTTGTGCATGTGACACTAAGCCCACTAAGCTACTTCAATTTGTCAGGAATGATGTTAAAATAATTTATGTATATATATATATAGATATATATCTATATCTATATATCTATATATGTATATATATATATAGATATATATATAGATATAGATATATGTTACGGCCAAAGCCAGAAGTTCGGCCAGTTCCCGAATTGGCTGGCCATTTCGCACTTTGGCCGAGTCGTGGGGCCAATGTCTGATGTACTGGAAATTACTAGTGTATTTCCTACTTTGGCCGGCCAATTCCCGAAGTGCCGGGATATCCCTGGCCAATATTCAATGTGGCAATGCAAGACTAATAACAATGTGAACAGATTGTGTGTAGTGTGTGATAAAGAGTGTTATTCAGCCTATACTTGTGGATGGATCCTGCGGTAACGATGTCCACGCAATTTGTGGATTAGGTAATGAAGCAGACGAAGGGTACAGATGGAAAATTACTTGCAGACTATTTCATAATCTTGCAGGTCAGGTCTTTAGGGTGTGCGACCTGTGCCCTCGCATAACATCTACTACAGTTCTCTTTGAAAGTAAATTAATAAATTTGAAGTCCCTTATATTCAAATTTTAAAATGCATTGTTACTTTTTGAGGGGATGCAAGACTTGATAGGACAATTTATTGGGGTGCAATATTAGTAACAAAATTTATAGTAACGTAATGTATAGATGGCGCAGCGTTTGAAAAAATTTGGTAGACAATACCTAAAAAAAAATTTAAAAATAAATATTGGTGGAAAGTATTTTTATGTCACATGATCTAATGTTTTAAGTAATTCGACTTTTAAGGTCTTCTGTAAAATTTGGAAAACCTGATTTATTAGTTTAGAAAGTTACGGCGATGTTCACCTTAATTTTAGAAATTGAATGGAAATTCACATTTGAAAGTGTTTACATTAAATATAAATCTCAACCAGATCCGTGCACAATCATCTTGTCTTCAATTCACAACCACCAGCATGCCTATTTAAGGTCCTATGTATATCATTTTGCAACTATACCGTACTTTATGGACTATAAGACACTATGGACTACAAGACACACCTTAATTTCTAAGCAATTAAAAAAAAAAAAAATAACTGCCAATTAATTTTGAGTATAAGATGCACCTCAATTTCGGAGGCAATATTTCAAAGAAAAAAGTGCATCTTATAGTACATAAAATATGGAATGTTCATCTCTGGGCTGACATGTACAGAAGTCATTTTTTTTGTCAAGAATCACAAGTGGTGTAAATGGTTCAAGAATATATTTAACATTAAAAAGTTGAGTGTTTATGCAGTGATTGTGTAGCTGCAGTGATTGTGTAGCTGCAGTGATTGTGTAGCTGCAGTGATTGTGTAGCTGCAGTGATTGTGTAGCTGCAGTGATTGTGTAGCTGCAGTGATTGTGTAGCTGCAGTGATTGTGTAGCTGCAGT